CCCAGAGAAGGCTCTGGGCCCCTGGCTTTGGATCAGTTCAGCTCCAGCTATTGTGGCCACTTGGGGAGTAAATCATTAGACGAAGATCTTTCTGTCTCTCCTCCTCTCTGTATATCTGACTTTCCAATAAAAATAAATAAATCTTAAAAAAAAAAGAAAGTTCAAGATCAAGTGTCCCAACAGTTCACTCTCCTAGCTGCATCACAGAATGGCAAGTGCTTCATGGAGACAGGTAGAAATAAGATGCAATTCTCTCTCATGGCAAGACAGGAAGCATGACGAGATTCAGGGGTCAGTCTCAGCACCTTTTAAAACAACTTCTGCTCATGGAAACAAACTGGGATCCTATGAGAACTACATTCCAAAGGCAGCACCAGCACTGACCTCATTACCTTCCAACAAGGGCCTTCTCTTTGAGTCTCCCCCGTCTCAACATCAACACACAGAGGGGCAGTTCCAGCTTGAACCTGATCCTTTGGGAGATAACCTCAAAGCACATCCAACTGTTGCAAGAAATAAAGAAGGATTATTTTTATGGGGTCTTTTAGGGGGAGAGGCTTCCCCTCAAATGACTCTTTCAAAAGGCTACCATCTGTGAGGACACCATATGTGGGCTAGAAGTCCTGGAGACACTTGGAATTAACCTCCCAGCCTTGGTTTTCTGGAAGCCCATCACGGATGTTCTCTGGAGGCGTCTTAAGGACTGGGTAGTGAAAGTGAAGTTAGTCCTAAATTTCAACTTACACAAGTTGGGTCTTGTACAAAGTAACAGATTAGAGTTACAATCAAAACACTCTTCTGCATGGAAAGTCAGACTGTTTCACTGCTTTTGCTATGTCTCCCGTGGAGTAAACCCAAGTGTGAAACATTCTTTGAAGTCAGCAAGAATTCTTTGCTTCACATAATTCTGAAAGGATTTACAAGCCAAATAGGATTAAATCTTGGGAAGAAAGGGAGTGGGGACAGAAATTCCAGCTCAATCTGAGCTGTAAGTAAAACAGTGAGAAGGCAGAAGGAACATTTCATACAGCGGTAAATCTGTCTTCCTTTGCCTCAGAGTACCACAAGTACAGAGCCTTTAGAATCAGTCTACGGGGTGAAGTTATATGTAAATCAAATGTTTCAAATACAAACTAGTGTAAGAAAAACTAGGCTTTTCTCTCAATGGAGCCAATCTCCCTTTTGCCTGAGTTACCGCAATGGGATGCCTGGATCCACTGCAGCCATCTAAAGGATCCTTTTCCAAAGCAGATCCCGCCAGCACGCTCAAGAACCCTAAGCAACGTTCCTACATCTTGCTCAAAGTTCACATCCTGGCTGGTCTAGTTCCCTCCTCTTCTACAGCCCTCCCCAGCCATGCTAGCTTCCATGCTGTTCCTCCAAACCAACTAAGCTCAGTTCTTCTCTCAAAGAACCACAGAACTCAAACACTTTCTCTCTCCAGGCTGTGTGTGTCTAGCAAGTTTAACCCGTCCTCCCTTCACTCTCCCTGACCCAAACACTCTAGCCTCCCACCCCAATTTTCCTCCATTCCCTTATTACCATCTAACATGTTGATAACTTCATTTATTCATTTTGCTTTTATCTATCTTCATCACAAGAATTTGGGCTTGTTGTGCATTGCATATTCCCAAAGCTAAATGCAAAGCCTGGAACATAGCAGCTGGCTTAATTATATTTGTCCAAAAAGCCCCCCAAAACCCAGATGTCACTTCCATCAGGGCTTTCTCAAAAAGCCCTACCTTCATCATAAGTATGCCTATATCACCTTGCTATGATTTTTCATATTAGTGTGGAAGCTTTGTTCTTAACTTTTTTTTTTTTATTTGAAAGGCAGAGTTAGAGAGAGGGAGAGACAACACAGAGAGAGAGAGAGGGAGCGAGAGGGCTTCCATCCATTGATTTACTCTCCAGATGGCTACAATAGCAAGGTTTGTTAGGCCAAAGGCAGGAGTCAGAAACTTCATGTGAAGTCAATGCCCATAGACCTGATATCTCAGGCAGTGGCTCCATGCAGTACGCCATAACACTGGTCTCACTTCTGAGATTCTTGCTTGATTTTGCAGATATTGTTCGTATACCTGAGAACTGGGACAGGCGCGGTCTCTTCATTCTCTAGAAAGAACTACACTGCAATGAGAAAATATAGCTGCCTCTGCTGTTCTCCCTGTGGGCTTTTCCTGACTCTGAGTATCCTACTGAGACCTGAGAAACGAGGTGGGGGTTTGTGCTCTGAACTCTATTTTACTGTGCCCTCGCCCAATACTCTTACCTGGGTCAGGCCCCATGCTTCCGCTTGGTTCACTGAACCCTGCTGGATCATCTTAGGTCTTCAGGCACGGAAACAAGGTGAGCTATTCAGAGACACTCACCTGCACGGATGTGTCTGTGCATACAAAGTAAATTCAAAAATTATGGCAAAGCCTTTCAAGTTGCAGCTTCTGCGGTTATGAACATCGGACTACTCCTTTCCACGTGTGCCAACTCTCTGAAGATGGTGTTTATATAAAGTTTGAGTGGACAGAAGACACGGGGCATCTTCATAGTCAGGTCACATTGAATGTTCCTAAATTACTAGCATTTATAAGCAGTTCTGGATTCCTGAAGTATACTTGCTTCTCCTTTTATCCATATTATGGCAAAGCTGTGACAATCATACACTGAACAAAATGAAAGCAGCCTGGGAGGTCACTGGGCACACCTGCTAGCTTACATCTAAATTCTGTAAACCAAGTGCTGGTATTGTGGCATGGTAGGTTAAGACACTGTAGGCATCCCCTAAGAGCACTACTACCTGGGATATTCTGGGGAAATAACAGTGGAAGGGGAAAACAGAGGAAGGGGAAGAAGAGGAGGAAACACCTCTATCTACAAAACTGTATCATGGCAAGTAATAATTTAAAAAAAGGAAATTAAAAATATATATATATGGGTGGTAAGCTGTAAGATAACTCTGGAAGGAACAAGTTCAGTTATTCAACATAAAAATGTGTTCAGTTTTATTTTTTCACGAATGAACACACTTAAACTGCCTCTTCTGTACCATGGGCTAAAGCGGGAAAGATGAGCAGTGTTGCCCACCCCGGCCCTGTCCCCTCCCGCCACAGTTAACATTTCCTTAACTCTGAGGGAAACGTTAAATGTCTCTCCTGAACAGACAGATGAGTGTGTGGAGGACCTGGGAGATGTACAAGGCAACCCGCCTTTTCCCCTTTAAAATGTTTTGGAGATCTTTCCATGTGCTTGATTGTACATGTTGCCTAGCCCTTTTGTTTGTTTTGGCAGAGTCCCTTAAACAAAAGGCTTGCATGTACTTTTCCTTCTGCAAACATGCCTCAGGTCAATGAATGAATATATCAGAAATGCAGATCAATTCCATTCTTCTGAACCAAAGCCCGGTATCCCATTGCTTTAACGGACCTGAAGCTTCCAGTTGGCTGTGATGAATATTAAGAGCGTCTGCAGATTTTGGCTCCTGGTTTATGTCACACACCGTCCAATCTTACACATCCGTGTTTGTATGTGACTCTCAACTCATGAATTAGCCAACTGTATTTCTAATTGTGATGGAAACGGCCAGAAGAGTTCATTAGCAGGTTAAATCGACATCTCCTCTTATTACAACCACAGAATCTGAATGTGACAAAAACACCTATTTCTAGGAACTATGGATTCTTTCAAAGTCTTTAAAGAAAAGCCCTTTCTGTGGAGAACTTAAAAAAAAAAAACCCTGTTGGACATTGCTGTATGCGAGACATCCTTCATTTGAAGACAAAGTGCGTGTTCGCACTGGCCAGTGCTTTGGAACGCTGCCAAAATGCACAGGCTCAACTGCTTCCTTTGTATAAGGTAAAAGTAAAACAGAATTCCATGGTGGCCTTCTGTAAAACGTTCAGCCCCTGCATATTTTTTTTTTCTGCTTTGCAAGTTAAAAAAAAAAAATCGCAATTCCAGAGTTTGTAGACAGCTGTGAGAAAGTTATTTCTAACAGAAGTCCCCACAGGTAAGGGTCACTTGGAAGTTGGGGGAATGCTACCAGTTCAGCTGCCACAAGCGTTCCACTGCCTATTGGTATTACAATAAGCAAAGGAACCTTCCACGCAGACAGAAGGCTGCGTCCCATTAACATTCATGAGGCCCGCGGGGCCGGGGCGCCGGGCATCCAGGAGGCAGCCGGTCCTTTGTCTCCCGATGGGAAAACGCCTCGGCGACAAATGGCCGCAGACAGCGGTGTCACGAGGGCAGCCGCACACAGGGCTCCGGCAAGCTGTCCCCCGCCCCCTTCCTCCCAAGTCCTCTTCTCCCGCGGCTTTTGCTGCGGTGCCTCCCTGCAACCCCGTCAAAGAAGAAGAAGAAAAACACCTTGGAACAACGTTTAAAACACAGCCTCGAGGGCTTCGCGAGGCGTAACTGCGCGGCCACCCAGCGAGGCAGCGCCCCGCGTCCCCGCACGCCGGCTCGAGCGGCGCGGGCAGCGGACAGGCTCGCCGGTCAGCGCCGCACGCAGGGCCCCCCGACGTGACCAGATCGCGTCTCCTCAGACTTTCGGTTGAGGAATTCTTGGGGACAGCCCCGACGCACGGAGCTCGAGCACCAGGCTGGGGGCTCGCGCTGGGCCGGAGCCAGGCTCTAGGGGGCTCCCGGCCTTCACCCCACCCACCTCCCTAACGGCCTCTCCACAGGACGCGACCCCTGCGGCCGGCGGCCTGGAAACCAGGACAGGGACGAGGTCCCCAGGGCCGCGGGGCTCAGCGCCCAGGTCGCCTCAGGTCGCCGGGATCTGGGCGCCGGCTCAGCCGGGCCGCAGGGGAGGAGTCAGGGGCGGGGCTGGCAGAGCGGCTCCGCCCCTCTCGGGCGCCGGCGGCGCAGCGCGCATGCGTGCGGGCCAGAGGCCTGTGGTGGCACGGCCCGCCCTCGCCGCCCTCGCCGCCCTCGCCGCCCTCGCCGCCCGCCTCCTCCTCCCACTCCGCCCACTGGACGCGATGACGCAGCGTAGGCTTGCGGACGTGGCGGCGGCGCAGGGCCGGGAGGGCGGAGGACGTTCTGGGCGGCTTTTGGTATTGTCAGACTCAGGCAGCATGAAGACTGAGGCTCGGCCATGCGCATCCCCGGGACAGCGGAGGACCCGGTAGCCGTCCCCTCGCCGCATCCGCTTCATGCTGACGGGACAGGTGAGGAGGAGGAAGCCGGCGGCAGGTGGGGAGGGAGCGTGGGCTGCCGGGGTGGCGGGGCCTGCGTAGGGGAGACCCCCCCCAGACGAGGAAGCCCCCCACTTCCGTGCCAGGCCCGGGTCGCCCTGTCGGCGGGGGAGCTGAGGCTCGGCGGGAGGAGGATGCCTGGGCCGGCGGGTTGGCCTCCCCGGGTGTCCGCGTCGTGATGCTGTGACGGGGAAAGACCCGAGTTGTTTGTGGGAGGTGGGGAGCCTCGCTGGGGCTGGGGAAGGGAGGGCAGACAGAAGGGAGGGAGGTGGTCCTCGGGGAGCCTCGGCCACGGGTTCGGGGCTGGCCGCTCGCCCGACAGCTGTCACTGCAGGCCCGGGGGGCTGGGCGACGGCCGCCAGCTGCCGGCTGACCCTGCCTGCAGCCCGCTGGGTGTGGCCGTCCGGGTGCGTCCGTTTGTGCGACTGGGGCCCCCTCCGTGCCCGGTGATGGGGTCATCTCTGAGGTCCTGGCCTGCCGGCTTGCCGCCTCCAGCCCTTCCGACCCCGTGCCGCTTGGGAACGCAGACGGGATCGCTGTTACTCCACTGCCAGCTTTTCATTAAACAGGCCAAAGGTACAAGCCTTTAGATACTGATTGAGCAACGTGACCACGGAGATGGGGTGGTGGAGGTGTCTGAAGGCGCTGTACGGCATGGCACAGTGAATTCGTTAGCTGCAGTGAGCCACGTTTGAAAGATCCTAAGAGCACATTAGCACAGAGAAAAAAGCCCGAAGGAGAGCGGAAGTGGGTCAGTGTAGTTGTGTGCAAATTGCTACATAGTGAGTGGCTCCGAGTTTTGTTGTTGGGTTTTTGTTTTTGATCGTTGTTGCCTTTTGACCGCAAAGGCATGGTCACATAAGTGGGTGCTAACCTGTTAACTCTGGGGGGAACAGGTATGAACGTAGTATCAGAACTGCTTTACACATGAAATGGGACAAACTTAGGTTATTGGCTGTTACGTTAGGAATCGAGACTCTTGGTGAGATACGTAGCACGTTGGGTAACTGTTGAAACCATTTACTTGGCATGCAGCTGTGTTATCTGTGCTGAGTGGAAATTCTTGACTTTTTAAAGTGTTCCAGTGTTACCTAGAGGAAAACTGGATAGTAGTCTTCAAGGGTGGATTCAATTTTATGAAACACTGCATGTTATGGCCACTCATTTTAGAAATGAAGGCAGTTAGAGTGGGTCTGCTGATTCCCCTCCCCTCCCAGAGCCCCCACTTGATACTAGAGGGTCGAGAACGGAGACAAAATGTCCTTGAGACATTATTCTGCCTCTGCTTCCAGCATACACTTCTGTGGGTTCCTCTTGTGTACATTCTTCTTCCATCTTTCTTTTTCCTTTTCTTTTAAGATTTGTTATTTGAAAGACAGACTTAGGGAAAGAGAGGCAGAAGAAAAGTGTGAAAGAGTAACCTCATTGCTGGATTCATTCCCCAAATGGCCACAGCAGCTGGACCTGGGCCAGGCTGAATCCAGGAGTCCATCCAGGTCTCCCACATGGCTGTGAGGGGTTGAAGGACCTGGGCTACTGCTTTCCATTCACATTAGCAGGGCACTGGCTCATAAGTGGAGCTGCTGGGACTCCACCTGGCGCTCAGGGAGGATACTGGTGCCGCAGGTAGTGCCTATAACACTGGTGGTTCCCTTACCATCTTTGCAGGCCGACTTCTGTGTCTGTATCAAGGTAGTCAATTTTAGAAATTGTCACAGCTCAATCTTGGGCCCTCCTCCACTCTTCCAGATCTCACCTGTGTCCAGGTTAGTCATAAAGTTGTATTTCTCACCCACACCTCTCTTTTGACTCCATAGCCTGCCGCCTATAGTGTCTGTTCCCTTTTACTGTCTTAGGAGAATGGGTAATCATAGTCATACACCTTTGCCCGGCTGTTAGTCCCCAAAGAGAATGGCACCACAGTTTGTGAAGTACAAATCGGACACCATGGCAGGCATGGTCCTGAACGGGCCTTCCTCATATCTGAGCCACTTCATGGCCAAAGTATCTTATTTCCAGAATGCCTTTTTACTGCCTTTATCCATCTTTCCTGACAATAACTGAAAGGAAGCATGGGAATAATTAATGTGAAACCAAAACAGTGAGTGTGCAATTGATTTTTCATCTGCTTTGTTTGTAATCAAAATACTGATATGTCATCTTGATGAGGGTCAGAGTAGGTATGCAAGTAAACAAAAAGTACTCATTAATGTGTCTTTATCATTTCGTTGAAGTGCCAGTTGGGTTTACATTTTTTAAGTACATATGTTCAGTCTTCATAGATCATGAATCGATTTGATGGGGAACTGTTTTGGGTAAAACGCTACTAATAAAAACCTTGGAGAGCAGAATTCTGACCTTTATAGAAGGCTCTTCCCATCCACACTGAAAACCCTGAAGTTGGTGGGCACCAGGGAGTGAGTAGTGCAGGGCAGAGTGCAGTGACACATGAGCACAACCTGTAGAAGTTAGAAAGTGTGTGTTCATGAGTATTGTGTGTTCATGTGTAACTGTGTCTGTGGTTTAGTGGGTTTACTGTGTGGCCTGGGACTCCGGCTTCCTGTAGGCTCCTGGTTTGAATCTTGCCTGCTGTACTTTGCATCCAGATTCCTACTCATGTGCCTACGAGGCAGTAGGCGACAGCCCACGAGTTTGGGTTCTTGTCACTCCCAGGGGAGACCCAGGTAAGTTCCTGACTCCTGCTTTCAGCCCGGCTCTGTTTCTAGAATCAACAAAGGAGCAAAGGAATGGAAGATCTGTTTCTCTCTCTTTCTCTTTACTGATGCTCTCTCAAAATACAAATAAATATATTTTTCCAAACAAATCCTATATATTGATTTCATCGGGGTATAAATTGTATACATGCTTTTTAAGGCATAACAAAAATATTTCCCTAATTTCTACATACTCAAAATAAGAACTTCGTGATAGCATTTTGCCTCCTTTGTTAAAATATAATTATAATTGATTCAGTATCTACAGATTCAAGTAATTGCAGATCCAAAAGAAAAAAAAAAAGACAAAATGTCACATCTGTACCAAACATGTGAACATCTTACCTTCTTCTAAACAATCTGATAACTATTTTTATAGCATTTATTCTACATTATAGCGATGAAGTAAGATGTGTGTGGTTTCTAAGCAAATACTATGCCATTTTATATGAAGGACTCAGCCGTGTGGATTTGGCTTAGAGGTGTCCTCACACCCGTCCCGAGTACAGGATTCCTGTCCAGCTCATGATGCAGCGTGTCCTGTGAGAGCTGATTATCTCCTCCCTCCATGCCAGTGTCTGCACTGCCAACAGACATGTTGTACTTCAACAGTTACAAAACTCAGACCTGAACTTTCCAATAATGAAAGCACTTTTTAAGACATTGAGGATTGTCATATTGAGATGTATGTAAATCAGGAAATCAGCTGCATTCCACCCTGTCTGTGTTGTTTCTTCTAGACCTAACGTGATGGCAGGGAGACATCAGAGCTGGAGTTCTCCTGTTGCCGGAGTTCAGTTGAGTGGGCAAGTGCACGCGTTTGGGAACAGCACAGACAGCGACATGTTGGAGGAGGATGTTGAGGTGTATGAGCTTCGATCCAGAGGGAAAGATAAAATGCGAAGAAGTACATCGAGAGACAGGCTTGATGACATTATAGTGTTAACAAAGGACATCCAAGAAGGGGATACTTTAAATGCAATAGCCCTTCAGTACTGCTGCACGGTAAGTTTTGGTTTTATATAGTGCAATCAACTATAAATTACCTGTTTGTTGGCCAAGCCCCAAACTGAAATAAATTCTATGTCCTTTTATCCTGTTCCTCCTTTTTTGCTTTTATCTTATATAGAAATTGATCATGTCAGTAGCTGTTAGATACTTTTATTTCCAGTCCCATGATTTTACGCAATATTATCTCCCCCAATTTCCTGAGATAAGTGTGTTAGCACAGTAATGCTTTTCTATAACTGTGTGCATATATAGGGAATGATAATGTCCTGTTTTTAAAAGTGGTTTCTGCTATACTGATTACACCTTGCAGTTTTCATTTTTTAGTAAATGATAGGTTTCCCTTGTTACCACCATGTACAGCCTTATAGGACATTATATTTTAAACATCATATGCCATTCATAGTATGGATGTGCCAGTCTTACCTGTTCCCCTGTATGGACGTTCAGTTGTACACTGTGTGTGAGTACCATTCCAACTCTGTCCTGAAGTCATGGTGTCTGTCAGCACTTACATCCGCAGCTCAGTGTGTGTCACAAATCCCGTGTCCTGGCTGTTTGTTCTTCGTGTCCTTTGTGGATTTCTGTCACGGCACTGTATTCCTCAAGGGTCTTTCCTGTCACCTTTGTCTCTTTTCTAGTGAATCTGTCTGCTCTGCTCCAGCTCCCACTTCTACTTTTGCTGATATTGCACAAACCTGATTGTCTAGCTGAGATCCATTTCCCAAGTTTCAGACAAAATAGGATGTGTCTTCCACAAGCGCATGAAATGAACAAAATTGGACATAATGAAACTGCAAATTATGAAATGAAGCATGGACTTTACAGTTTTGGGTACCAAAATAAGCTTATCAATTCCATTTTTCTACTACCTTTTGGAAATGCTGTCACTTGTGTGTGTGAAGCATCCCAAAGCTAATGTGTCTAAAGTCTGCACTCTGCTCTTCCCACCATCCACCGTCCTGCTTTGGCAGCAAATGCCATTGTCTGTCATTGATCATGTTGCCCAAACCATCCCAGACTCATTTCACCTCCAGCATCAACCAGCTGATATACATGATGAGGGCTTAGAGTAAAGCATTGATGAAAATGATGAATGAAGGGCAGGCATTTGGCACAGTGGTTAAGTTACCCTCATTCTGTATTGGAGTACCTGGTTCTGGCTGCAGTCTAGCTTCCCGCGAATGCATGTCCATGGGGGCAACAGGTGATGATGTCCACGCGCTGGCATCCCTGCCACCCAGGTGGAGACTCAGATTGATTCCCACATGCCATCCTCACAGCAGGGATTTCACATCTCTCTTAGTGTCTCTCTGCCTTTCCAAAACAGTAAAAGAATGGAAATTGATGAGTAAGACTAATGATTTAAAGGTGGTGGGAGAGCCTAGCACGGTAGCTGGTGACAGTCTGAAAAATGTCATCCTCTCCCTAATCACAAATAGCATAGGGTATGCATATGTACCTTGGATAGGATGTGGATACAAGTTGAGCAGTATGTAATATATATTTCCACGTACAAATGGGAAGCTTACAAAAATGATCTTTCAAGTAACTTAATGCATTTATGGTGAGAAGTTTGGGTAAAATAGCTTTAGAAGATGAATTACCACATTGTATGAATTCTAAATTATATATGTTTTCACACATGCGAACACCTTTATAATGGGATGCTGGCATTTTTTTAAAAAGATTTATTTATTTTTATTACAAAGTCAGATATACAGGGAGGAGGAGAAATAGAGAGAAAGATCTTCCGTCTGATGATTCACTCCCCAAGTGAGCACAACGGCTGGTGCTGTACCGATTTGAAGCCAGGAGCCACACAGGTCTTCCACACGGGTGCAGGGTCCCAAGGCTTTGGCCCATCCTTGACTGCTTTCCCAGGCCATAAGCAGGGAGTTGCATGGGAAGTGGAGCTGCTGTGATTAGAACCGGCACCCATATGGGATCCCGGTGAGTTCAAGGTGAGGACTTTAGCTGCTAGGCCACACTGCTGGGCCCGGGATGGTGGCATCTTAAGTATGTTTTGAATAGTCTTTTTTCATGAGTCATAGAAAACCAGTGGCACAAGTTAAAGTTGATGGCATCGTAGATTTCATAAAATGCTACTTCAGTAGGGCAAGCTAACACTGAAATTACCAAATTGGAATAAGAGCATAAGTATGCGTAGTCCTGCCTCCCAGATGGCTTACAAGCAGCAGAACTGTGGTATTTGTACCTGATGCACGAAGGCAAAGAACAAAGGACCTTAGAAGCCACTTTAATTGCCAGCACAGATGAGTGTCACTAACACAGGAGTGACAAGATCATGTTCTTAGACTGATCCATAATAAGTGGTTAAAATTCTTATCTACAAGTTAAATTAACTTCCCTTCTCCCCTTGGTGTGGCAACAACACAAATGATTAACCTGAATTTTTTTCCCTCCAAAAGATCACTGGGATGAGTGAGTATTGCAACCATTGGTTTGGTTTATCCATCAGTTGAATGTTGCATTTGTTTTTGTTTTTTTAAACAGGTAGCAGATATCAAGAGGGTTAACAATCTCATCAGTGATCAAGACTTTTTTGCCCTTAGGTCCATCAAAATTCCAGTCAAAAAGTTCAGTTCCTTGACTGAAACACTTCATCCTCCCCAAGGAAGACAGGCTTCCCGTCCAGCTGGGCAGTATGCACCGGAACACCATGAAAGTGGGCCAGCTGATGATTCCCTTGCTTCCACTGAGTCAGCTGGTAGCTTTTTAAAAGAAGTAGATCGAGACATTGAACAGATCGTCAGGTGTACAGACACCAAGAGAGAGAACCTCAATGAGGTAGTGTCTGCCTTGACAACACAACAGATACGCTTTGACCATGATACCAAAAGTCCTCAACGCAAGGATCCGTACTACGGAGCAGACTGGGGGATGGGGTGGTGGACAGCTGTGGTCATCATGTTGATAGTAGGTATAATAACGCCAATCTTTTATTTACTCTATTATGAAATTTTAGCTAAGGTGGATGTCAGCCACCATTCAACGGTGGACTCTTCCCATTTGGACTCAGGAATCACACCCCCATCACAGCAAAGAGAAATACAGAACAGAATTGCTCCAACTAAAGGACTACGCTTGGGCCAAGAGGCTGATCATGAACTGTTTGGTCAGGATTCTCAGTCACCTGCTGTTGAGCCCCAAACCTAGCATTAGTTCCTGGCAGTGCATTAGTGGTGAGGAGAGTCAGTTCCTACTCAAAGACCACTCCCAAGGAGACTGAAGATGCTGTGTGGTTTTTACCTTTTACAAAAATTTCTGAGCCATTTATTGGTGGATTGGATCTAAGGTTGCAGTTTCTACAGTTAGTGCTAAAATGAATCAATGCCTCCATCTGTTCTATCAGTGCTTAAAGCAGAAATGAATTTCTATGTGACTGCGAGGCCTTTAACTTGGAAGATTTATTATTTTTTCTTACTCGAGACTAGTTATGCTTACATTTTTTTCAAGTAATTATTTTGGCTTCAGGTCATTAGTATTAAATTTATCAAGCAGAATGAAAGTGTCGGGGTCGACAACTCAAGAAGAAATAATACTGTTAGCCACAAAGATAACTTAGTTGCAGAAAAGTTTGGTTCTTATTTATGATAGCATGGTTAACACTGAATTTTGGAACTTCTCCAAACCATACCCAGCAGCTGTGTTTTCACAGTGAAACAGAAACAGAACCTGGGAACGTATATATAATTTCTGTAATAAAGGTGAAGAGATGGAGTAAATGTTTTAAGCCCTTTATAAAATGTGTCATTTTTGGGAAATTGCCATTTTGTCACTAGAACACTGGAAAAGGCCGGAACCATAGAGGGATTTTTGTCACTGTACAGAACGCTTTCTTGAAGGCAGATACTTTCACCTCTCATTTGCTGTTTGAAAAATAATTCTGTTTGCCTTTGATGTTTGAAAGTGCTTTTGTGATTCTTTGATGAAAAGCGTTATGCCTGTACAGGTGAGCATTACTTAGGAAATTCTTACATACTGTGATAAGCTGTTGCTGTGTTACATATGGTAACATGCCTTAAATACATCTGATGCCTTATATTACTTTATGTAAGTTTTAGAATTAAACATAATCTCAGATGATGCAGTTGGATTCATTATGTAGGCTCCACTCACGAATTGACATCCTCAGCACCAAACACAAGTTAATCGGGTGACACAAATCTTTGTCTGCCCCTCGGCTCTGATGGAGCAGAGGGCTTATTATCCAAAACACAAGAGGGAAGAGGCCTTTTGCATTCGTGAAGGAAGAAAACTCTTGCCTAAGAAAATGTCCCAACTCTGACTTTTTTTCATGAGTTTATCATGAGGGGAACAGAGTTTATCATATGGGAAACCAGCCCGAGGCCTGGTTTCAAGCGCTTGCTAGTGACAGTTCCAAAGATTAGTGTGGACGGTCACAGCCTGGCTAAACTAGAAGCATTTGCATACAGACCCCATCATGTAATTTTTAAAGGTGTTTTTGAATTGTAACCAGAATGATCCTATAGAAATGAAATTTGGTGGAATCTGCATTTCCTGTATTGTGCATAATAAAGTATATACTCTAAGATATATAATGCCACTTCATTCTCTGGACAGTATTTCCTCATTTTAAATTTCAGTTTTCTGGTCAGTCATTTTAAAATCTCACACTGTTATATCAATAAAAAAGTGGATGAATTTAAAAAAATGTTAAGGTTTTATGTATTTTCAGAAGAAAAGGATCATTAAGAACTCAAGTCAACAAAAGGTTTAAAGCTCTAGCATATATAGAAGTCTTTTAGAAGTTAGTAGAAATAGCTAATTATGAGAAAAACCTGTGCATGAATTTTTGTTCTGCACCAAAAATTATCTCTTAATTCCATTTTCCTATGAAGTTTTCTGAAGTATGCTTCTGTTAGTGGATCTTAAAAAAAAATCAAAAGTGTTTAATGGGGAAATAGTAGCAAAAATGATTTGCTTAGTAATCCTTTATTTAAAAACTTTTTAATATTAATGTATGTTGGGCATCTTGAAAAGAGTAATATGATCTTGCCAGCTTATACAGTTCTAGCTAGTTTAAATTTAGTAAGCCTGCTGAAAAATAGTTTCAGGGACAAAAATGCAGATTGTAGGTTAGCGTAATCTAAACGTCCTTTGAAGAATTTTGTTTACATCAGATTGAGAGATTACAGTCAGTGTTCCTTTGTTGCTAACTGTACTTTGAATTTGTGATCAAAGGGTTTGATTTCCAAATAAGTTATTTTTAAGTAATGAAATGTACTGTGTACTTAATTAAAATTTTCTGTCTCGCAGGGTATCCTTTCTGAAGGAAATATATATGCTATGACACAATCAGGCAGTTTCTTTGAGTTGTATACCTTTAAATTAATTTACTTTGAGTTATATAATTCTATAACTTATCTGTTGTTTTTAAGAAAAAATGTAATAGGTTAAGAAAGTGTTAAAAAGCACTAATTAACCTGCATTAAATTTGTAGCTAGTGCAAGCTACATCAGCAGTCTGATACTGCAGTTCTCACTGGGTAGAAACCCTTGTTTGAGTGACTTTGAAGCCCTATGTGTGTGTGTGTGTGTGTGTGTGTGTAAGCAGCCAGAACAGCATTCATGTATTGCTGCATTTGGTTCACTTAGAGTTGGAACTGTAGAAGAAAATCTTGTATTTTTGTGATAGATTCTTAATTTTTTTGTTAAGATCGAGTAGACATGGTTTCATGTCTTTTAAGGAATGGATGCCATTTAAATCTAGTCCGTTTTGCCATCAGTCCCTAGAAAACTACAGGAGTCGTGACTTAAAATGTCACAGAATCTGCTGGTCACATGAAACATCAGAACGAAGATTGTAATGTTGAATTTGTCTTCTGCAAAGGATGTTTTGGCTTTTGAGGTTTTCTTTTTGTGGAATACTCCTGCTTGTTGCAGGGCAGAAAAGTTCATTCAGTGAGCCAAGAATGTATCTGTTTCTAAAATTAGCTAATTAGAAATATGAAGGATACAGTTAGGTTCATAGAACTATTTGGCAAGGATGCCTTCCAAGTGTTAGAGGACCAAGGAGTTTCAGAAATCTATTTGAGTGGTGCATTGCTGGGATGAGAATCATTTGTACTTTGAATTACAACAATGTTGCTCAGGAAATCAGTGTTTTTCTTCCAAGTATGTGCATATTGCACAGTTAGATCACAGTAAAATCCAAATGCTTTATTTAATTCATTTTATGTATGCAAAAATCTATAAATCTTTTGTATAATGTATTTTATACAAGTGTAATAGAATATTATGTTAGCATGTACATCTGTAAAACTTTTTAAAACTTTTTGCCTCATTTTTCATTTTAAAAAATTATACAAAGTAATAAAGTTTCTATTTTATTATCCAATCTAAAATGAAAGCTGGTGAATTTGATTGAATAAAGTAAACTTCATCTCTACTACTTTTCAACTGTTTGATATCAGGAGTTTAGACTTCCCACCTATGACATGGAAATGATGACACGGTTGTGGATCACTCATAAAATGCAATTTCTATAAAACAAAAATGCATTTACTTCAAGAATATTAGTTTTAAAACATGAGGATAACTGATAAGGTTCTTTGGAGTGTTTAATGAAGATTTGTGATATATCCTTGCTTTTTCTTTAAGATTTAAAAAATTTTTTTGGAAAGGCAGATTTGACAGAGAGAAAGAGAGACAAAGATCTTCCATCTGCTGGTTCACTGCCCAAGTGGCTGCAACAACCAGAGCCAGGAGCTACTTCCAGGTCTCCCATGTAGGTGCAGGGTCCCAAGGCCATGGGTCATTGTTGTCTGCTGCTTTCCCAGGCCACAAGCAGGGAGCTGGATGGGAAGTGTAGCAGCTGGATACAAACTGGTGCCCATATGGGATCTTGGCTCATACGGGGCCAGGATTTAGCCACTAGGTTATTGTGCTGGGCTGTTTTTGCATTTCTAAACGCAAAAGGGACATTTTTAGTAGCTCAGTCCAGGTTTTAACCATTGCGAAGGCAAAGCCACTGGGACGGTACATTTGAAGGTGGAGAGGAAAGGGAGGGTGCAAACCAGCGCTCTGCCCTTAGCACTGTGTGGTAACTAGATCCAGTATGTCAGCCAGGACACTGCCGGCCCAATCCCTCCCTCTGTGAGGACACTTGGTCCCATAAGCACACAGTTCACTTGTTTATCTGCAGTAGCAATTTTTCAAGATCACCTGGTTGAGGCGTCTCTGTTTGATACATACATAAGGTTACTGGGGAAAATCTGCATTTAATCAGCTTTCCCTACCAAATACATACATTTAAGTTCAGAACAAAACATACTTGATATAAAACAAAAAGCCACAACTTTGTAAGAATTTAATGTATGAACAAATACAGAAAAATAAGCATTGTAGCAACCGCTTTTGCTTGCTGTAACAGTTCTTGACACTTCAATACTTTTTTTATACATAAAAGGCAAAATTAATGTGTATTTTCCCATGGAATAACTTCACAGTGTACACTGTAAGGGAGAAAAATGAGACTTCTGTTGGCAAAGCAGCTTGCAACTTGTGCCTGTATCCACAATACTTAAAGCTTCCAGATGGGGAGCGAGTGGCTGGGGCGCCCGACCTTTCTCAGGACAAAAACAATGACTGCAAATTGAGAGCTAGGAAAAGAAATACTTTCACCTTTGTTTCACTTGCCTAATGGAAGATGTTATCTGCAGATGTGTAAGGAAACATATAACCAGAACTGCAGAGAGGAGTTGTGTGGTCTAGCTGGTACTGGATTGTGGTACTCGGGAGGTGAGAGAATGAACCGTGTGCTAGCCAATAATCCTGTATGACAGCGTTACCCACTGCTACTGAAGACCCTCTTGGGGGTTTCTAAGTAGATTGCTGTGACTTACCCTAAACATTTTTTATAAGCTTCCTTAAGCAAAAAGGGGTTCACTAACCTAGTGACGCGGGGCCTCACACCCCATAGTAATTATTCAAGGAAGTGTTGCTGCTGACATTGGCCTATGTCCTGAGAAAGTCACATTACAGAATGGCACAGATGACAGAAATCTGCTCCCATTTTCCCCACCAAAAAGGATTGTTAATATGTTTTTGTGAAGGCAACAAGTTTCACAAATGTGGTTTTGGTTACTTTCTAGGCTGTAACATTTTTAGAGGGTAGCAACCACATTTCAGAAGTGAGCTGGTCTACATGTAGCACAGCTCAGTTGGTGTTGAAGTTATTTGTAAGCAGAGAAACTAAGGCACAGAACTTTGCCAAGCTCGGTTTCAGGGCTGAGTTTAATAGCACAGGGTGGCACTGCCTCAGGGGACAACAGGTGGTATCTCCTCAAAGGGGGTAACAAAGTTTGACTTCACCTGGTGAATAAAATAACAAATCATCTTTGAGATATGAGTTGCCTTGAAAAATCTTTGGCATCTTTGAGTCTTTGGAGGCTGCAGTTTTGGGTTACTTCCCCCATCAAAATATAAGACGTTGGGGAGCTAGCTTTGAAGTTAGGTTCATTTGAAAGTGACCTGAGTTCATCCTGTGCTGTGATAGGAATGGATTGTATAGCTCAGACCTGTGGCACACAGAATCATAGAAATCACACACACACATTCCACAACACAACTGACGGTGCAGAACCTACTCCTCACCCGGGTGAAGTGCCGAGCTATGCAGGGTGGCAGTCTCATGTTTTATGATCCCAACCATTTTTAAGATGTTAAGACTTATTACAGGTGTTGATTTCACATACATACAACTTAAAAAGTATTTTGCACCAAAATCAACTTGCAGTTCTAGTTTCCGTGAACTCCGTGAAGTTCCCTTGCGTGGCATAGTTAGCACTAAATACAAACAGTGTGTTCATCCAAGTCTCTTATGAGATGTGAGCTATGAGATTTGTACCCAGAGATGCATAGCTCGACTTGGCCTGTCTCTCTGTGGGATGTTTTCATCACAAATCTTCTCATCTCTCTAAGTTTGTACATGTTCACAGCTCAGGTAGGTTAAGGTCATGATGTAGTGGTACAGAACATACCACATCAAAGCAGAAAGCAGTTAGTTTCAAGTTTCATCGCTTTTTTTTTTTTTAAAGTGCTACATGTGCTGTTTAAAATTGATTTGTGGATTATAAAAATCCACTGACAATATCTGTACAAAAGATCAGCAGTTACACAAGAATGGTTTGTTCAAGTATGGATACACAGATGAAGAGATGTAAAAACTCAAAAGGCAGATCCAACTCTAACAACACAAATGTATCTGCGAGAGAACTAGGAGCAGGTGTCTAGCGGGAATGTTGAGTGCCAGGGACAGGTTTTGTACAAGGCAACTACTGCAGAAACAGGGTTCTGAGAATGTTGGTACCGAGTCTCAGTATCTGCCCACAAAAGGGTAACGAAAATCAAACAGGCGCCCATTGCTCCTCAGAAATAAAACAGAAAACGAGTCTGTCTGAATGCCTGGAAGCTGCACTATAAAAATACTTTCTGAGAAACCTCACGGCTAGTAGGTTGCTTCGTCCATGTTGTCGTCACTGTCGGCACCAAAGTCATCGCCATTGTCAAAGTAGGAATTGATGTAGTCATTTTCCTGTTGAGAGAATGCATGAGCAGTAAGAGGAACAGGTAAGAACACTAAAGAATACGATGCAGATTTCCTTCAAATTAAGAAATGCCCCATTGAGGTCATACAGCAGGTTTAAAAGCAATCTGCTTCAAACACACTTGAGTTCTCACTCAGGTTGGCCTGGGCTGCATGCTGTCAAGCCTGCCTGCTCCTATCCCCAGCCACCAGCTACACGGCGGGGGGAAACAGGATGGTCATGGCACACAACACTCCCCTGTGTGTGTGGTAGGGCCGGGGGCATAGGTTGATCTCAGGCCCTTCCTCGGGATGGTACATTCTATTCGACACCCCCTCCGAGAAGATCCATGCGACACTCCAGTCCTTCATGGGGTAAGGCAGTGCCTTGTACAGTCCATCTGTCACACCGTCTGCGCTTCCATGGGATGGTTCATCTCCTAAGGTCCCCATTCCATGGGACAGCCTCTAGGGAATGGCTCATCTCCTAACACACTCTCTGTGGAATACCCACGGAATGACATGTGGCTTACTTTGCTAAACCAGTAAACACCTTTTAAACACCAAATGCACAGACACTCAAGAAACAAACTAAGGGGCCAACACTGTTGTACTATGGGTTAAGCCTCTGCCTGCCATGTCCACAACTCCTATGAGCTCTGGTTCACGTCCCAGCTGCTGCACTTCCCATCTGGTTCCCTGCTGATGTGCCTCGGAAAGCAGCAGAAGGTGGCCCAAGTGCTGCCATGGGGGCCCCAGATGGAACTCAGGCTCCTAGCTTTGCCCTGGCTAAGCCAGCAGCTCAGCCATCTGGGGGGAGTGAACAAGCCGATGAAGGTTTCTCTTCCTCTTTCTCTCCCTTTCTGTATCACTACCTTTGAAATAAATAAATCTTTTTCAAAAAGACAGAGAGAAATCCCAGTTTACATTAACATAGGCTAGCTTACACCAGAAGTGAGGTTTCTAACCACAAAGCATGAGTGAGCCTGAGCCGAGAGACTTACTACCACAGAAAAGCGTCAAGCAAAACCAAACAGGAAGGAGGCCTCCTTGGATCTGTGCAGAGCCTCTCAGTCTCCTCCAGCCAGTTGCTGGCACATTACAACTTCCAAGGCTGAGAAAGATACGAGTGCCTCAGAAGCTGCCAGAGCTGTCCAAAGCCCGTCGGGGTACTGATGAGCAGGGATTAGGCAGTGGTAGTGAACTGGTTTCTCATTGTCTTGGGCCAAATAAAAAAAAATGTGTGACAAAGTGTAATGTCTACAACCCTCTGGCTTGCAGCAACGAGTGTTGCCAGGACTCAACCTCGGCTCCTTGGCTCCTTGCAGTGCAAGTCAGCACCAATGCTGACACATGCCCAGATGCATGTCCCCCATGTTCCAACTCCCCCTGCCTCCTGCCAAGGGCTCCCCACAGCACTCGACTCAGGATAAAGCCAAATTCCTCTGTCCACATTTCTAGCCCCTCAGTGAAGCATGCCCAGCTCATCACTCTCCTACAACCTCCAGTCCAGACAGACGGACTTACCTGGCCCAACCAAGACACCATACAGCCAACAATCTCCTTGCAAACCTTTCTCCATCTCTCCTCTAGGCACAGGCCACCTCCATTTCATCTTCTCACCTTCCACCACACCCCCAGTGCAATAGCACAGAAGTGAAAATCAGTTTAGAAAGAGCTAAATATTGACAGGGGCTTGGGAATGCGGTGGGGAGCGGACAAGAATTCACAGCTAAGGAAGTTTCCTCTGGTGGGCTGTGATTTCTGAGGAGGGTGCTGGCACCTGCTAAGAGTGACAGTGATGGGAGTAAAGGGGATTAACATGAAAGAAGACAGCCTAAAACAACTGCTGGAGAGAGCAGACTTAGTAAGAGAAATAGACAAGTGTTTTATCTGTTGAGCCAAGTTCCCCGAATCCCCAGAGATGCTCCTGAAGCAAAGAAGGAACAGAAGGAGACTGATCCAACGCTGTACTGATCCACAGTGTGTGGACGGGACAGGAGGGCAGTGCTGGAGGCGAGGTCAGGGCTCCCAATGCCCAGCAGAACCAAGCCAAGCAGGGAGCCAGAAGGTGCAGATAGTCGCCAGATCAGTCATGAAAAAAATGCAAAGGATCAGAAGAGAAAGCTTCATTTGAAAACACAATGGTGAGCATTTGATCTGGAAGGGAAATGCTGACAAAGAAGGGTGTCGGGAGGACCACTGGAAGTCTGATCAACCATGGTTCAAAGCGATCCAGATGAAGGAGAGTGTGGAAACACAGAGGACAGAACTGCACATCTAAAGGCTGCCAAAGGAAAAGCCAATGGTTTAACACATGGGGTTAGCTATTTGCAAGCAGGTAACAAGGAACCCACACCTCAACATTCCTATCACTAAGGAAAGATTTCACTGGCTGAACAATCTCAGTGAGGAAGAGGGTCTGAGAGCAGGTGAGCAGCTGAAACGAAGGGGACGCAGAGGTGACTAAAGAGCCAAGAGACTGTTAACCTGGAGTCGCTGTGTGACTGCCCAGAGATCCCACAAGCCAGGACCAACAGTCATCCTCAAAGACGTCTGTGTCTTGCTCACTTTGGCCCATGCCCAGGCACGGCACGTTTTGACAAGTCTGGCAGCCCACACCCAAAGCACTCTGTCCTGGCTCAGTTCTCTGATGGGTTGCACCTGCACACTGCCATGTGAGTCAGGAACCCACGGAAGGATGGCCAGCATCTCCATTGATGACTTGCACTCTGTGCTGTTGGACCTGAACTGCACTCACAGGATTGGTGTCCCTAATGTGGGGACCTCTGCAGATACAGTGACCTGCCATATCCCTTCATGCTGTGTTCACCATGGCACTGACTCCAGTGGCCAAGGCGCCCTTTGGTTCCCGTCAACTGGCGTCTGCTAATGACCGACTTAACGACACACCGTACGTCTGTGTCCTGATTGGAGAGCCCTCCAGCCTGGTACCCCTGGGTCCCACCCCAAACGGCTGTTACCTCCTCCTGCTCTTCCTCATCATACTCCTCCTCCTCTGCGGCTTCATCATCGTCATCATCATTGTCGCCTTCTTGGTTCTTCTCTTTGCTGCCTTCTTTCTCTTCATTTTCCTCATCTGACTTCTCACCATCGCCTCTCTTTTCCAATTCCTGTGTGAGTTAGGTTAAGTAAATTACAGATTTCTTGGCAAACCACAAGAATTTGTGTCCCTGCCCGGGCTACAAACAAGTCACAGATCAGATCTTTCTGTCCCACCTGAGTAGCACCCAGGAAGCCATGGCTTGGTTATTACCTGGGTCTCAGGTAATGCTGGGAATATCAGCTCTAACGCGGACACTGTGATTCCTACAACTCCTATCCCACCTCCTACTAAAACATTTCAGACAATTCTAAAATTACAAAGAACATTCAGAATGTTATTTTGCTTTCCTTCTAACACAAAAGCGGGCTTCACATGTTTTAAGGAAAAACAACATTTAAAAGAAATTTCTTTTGGTGCAAATTCTACAAGGTTTTTAAAAAATATATACATTTTCCACGGGATTTTCAAAGGCGCCTTCTAAAAGGGGCAAAAATGCATACAATTTAGCTTATACATGAAACCATTTAAACTAGTGCTATCAAGTTGTCCTGGAGCAAATTATCCCTCGTTGTGGCTTCTCCGAGACATTCTTTCCTCTCTCATTCAATACTCCCTATTCTCAGGAACTTTTGCTGCTGAATACATCCGGTAGGTTGAGAGGAAAGGAGAGATGAAAGCCCACAGTAGATGCAGCCCATAGCAGGTGCAGTCCACAGCAGAGCTGCCGGAAAGCTCTCTGAGCAGAGGCAGAGGGATACCGGGCTGGAGCAGCTCTGGCCACTGCCGGCCCTACCTCCCCAGCTGGGCTGCACTCTGCTACCTTCACATGCACAGGCGTCTGCCTTGACCTTGATCCCTGTTTGTGTAGTGTCACCACCGGTAACGCTTTCACTTGAGGATGAGCAATCTGTTTTTATGACTCACCATCCGTTCACTATATTATACCCAACAAGCCATTGAGGCAGCATTTCCCATGTTTGTTGGGACATGAGAGCAGTGACCATTTCACTGAGTAAAACCCAGAATCTCTGCATGAGATCCTGTTCGCTCAGACGTGACTGTTTCTGAGCAGTGACGGCTATCCTGTCTATTACAACATGTATCCTTTGTTGAGCACACATAGAAACAAAAACATCTGGTACCTGGAGTGGCTACTACCTGGCTATGCCTTAGGTAGTTTAAAAATACTTTAGTTATATTCAAGTTTTAATTCGAAGAAGTCAAAGGGACAGAAAGATTAGACTGTAAACAAAATACAAGTTCTGCTTTGTTGTTTGCTCATTCAAGCAGAACAAATAAGACCAAGGTAATAAACATAAGGTCAAGGTAATAAACATAAGGAAATTTATCTTGATACTGACTCTGATATTGCCTTGTAGGTGTTATTATTGCAGTATAATGTGTAAAATTTTTCCAGTGGCGACCCCTTTGGCAAAGTACAAGTAAATAAATGATAGCTATTTTGAAGTATCTATTGAAAGGTATCCATACACATATATATACACAGCTATGTTATTATCAGGTAATACAATAGTGGTACATTTTTTTTCTTAACCTGTTCATACTATATAGAGAATTATAGTGCTGTATTTTATTTATTCGTGGCACATACTGTGTCTGACGACACATACAATAAATTATGAATTCCTAATTAGGATCGGGATTATTTAAATCAGTTACACCACAGTACTTCCCAAATGCAGAATTCATTCAGTGTACATGTGGACCAGAAGTGCACATTTTTAGAATCATCACTGTGTCTTCAAATAAACAATGGCATCATTATTTCTACATACGCATTGACATATATCAAACCTATAAGGTACTTAAATAGGTTAACAAATAGGAGATTCAAGCAATTTTAAGAAAGGGCTGTCAGAGTTACATATATCATTTCATTATCTCATTCATCTTGTAGTAAGCTATAAGTTTCAGCTCTCTGACTTAGCAGTTTCCACTTTCCCCTCTGTGAGATTTAAGAATCTCATTCTGTGGCTGGTACTGTGGCGAGTGGGGCAGGCTACTGCCGGAGATGGCAGCATATAGGAGTATTGGTTGGAATCCTGACTGTTCCACTTCCAATCCAATTTCCTGCTAACATGCCTGGGAAAGCAGCAGAAGATGATCCAAATAGTTGGGTTCCTGCCTCCTAACTAGGAGAGCCAGATAGATTTCTCGGCCCAGTCCTGGTCATCGTGGCCACTTAAGGAGTGAACCAGTACACAGAAGATCTCTTTCTCATTGTTAGTGTGCCCTTCAAATAATACATTAATCTTTCAAAAGAAAAACCCAACCCTAAACTTACCACTTTACAGATCCATTTAAGAATAAAGTCAAATAGTGCTAAAACACAACTAAGGCAAGGGAAAAGTTTAAATCTGTACAGGCACAATATGGACGGAGCCTCCTGCACATTAGGCTGAAATGCAAATCTCAAATATCATCCACCACTTCTGCGCATGCATCCCCTAACCCTGACGTCTGACTGCATGTCACGCCTTCTCCACTCACAAATGCTCCACTGTAAAAAAAATCTGTGACTGATTTTTCCAAAATCATCTGGAAACAACTTTTCTCTATTAAAAATGCAAAGTCATTTAAAATTCTAGGATTAGGGGCCAGTGTTGTGGTATAGCAGCAGCCCCCATGAGTGCTCCCTGCTTATGTACTTGAAAGTAGTGGAAGACAGTCCAAATGCTTGGAGCCTCCAATGAAGCGCCTGGCTTCCACCTGACCCAACGCTGGCTATTGTGACCATCTGGGAAGACTGGATGGGAGATCTCTCTGCGTCAGCGTGTCTCCCTCTCTGAAACTCTGACTTTCAAATAAAAAAAAAATAATGTGATTCCAGGCTTAACAGTACATGTCTGAAACCAGGTGTTTAGGGAATAAAGACATATGAGGCCAGGACAAGCCACACCAGGCGTCTGGATGAGTCTTCCTTCCAGAACATGTCATCCTCTCCAGGGACCTGTCCCCCATCCATGGTGAGCTGGCCAGGCCTGCAACCCCACCTTACATTCCTGTAGTCAGATCTCAACTTTACTGCAAGCCCTTCATTAATCTCATAGCATGCTATCTGCAGCTCAAGTACTGGTCAAAAAGATAAAAGCACGAATAAGTTTCTGAGGGGCTGGCGTTGTGACACAGCAAGTAAACCCACCGCCTGTGACACCAGCATCGCATAGGAGTGCAGGTTGCAGTCCCAGAGGCTTTCTTTCTGATCCAACTTCTTGCTGATACACCTGAGAAGGCAGTGGATGATGGCTCAGGTGCTGCGGCCCCCAGCACCCATGTGGGAAGACCCAGATGGACTTCGTGGCTCCTGGTTTCTGCCTAGACATGCCCACCTTGACCATTGCGGCCATAGAGGTCTCTCTAACTCTGCCTTCCAAACAAACACATAAATGAACAAATGACTGTTTGAAAAGCGGGGGAGGGATAAAGGCCAAAGTAGGAAGGAGAGCTGACCTGCACTCTTCCCGTTCACTCCTAGGGGAGGATGCAGACCTTACCTCGATCTTCTTCAACACGTCCACAGTGCTAGGCAGGGCCGGGGCTTGCCTAGCGTCATCGGCCTTTCTGGATTTTGGTCCAGCTGCAAGTAAAACCACCAGTGAAAATCTACTTTAGTTTTTCTCCCAGCAACTGTGCCTTCTATTTCTTATCCTAGTTTTCATCTACTGTCTGGCATAAAGATGTCACAGCAGGCGGTTACAGAATTGCCAGAGTGCATTCATTTTTTTTCCAAAATAGTCACACCTTGCAACTTTTCCGAGGATGAAATGATAACCACTTCACAGGAGAGCCCTTACATTGTAACTAGTACTGAACCTTTGCCATGGCAATTAAAACCAGCAGGGTCAAAACTGCTCAAATGATGAGCACAAGAATACTCATTTCCCATAAACCTGCCGGCACGGGCTTACTATTCCCCTCCCCATGTATGGCTTTATTACCCAAGCAATCTTATCAAACTTGGAAGATAGAAATGAAGTACAGGTCAAATGATATTCTTTTTTCAACCACGAAAGAGATGAGAAAGAGGCTACATTCAAAGCACCAGAGAATGACCATCCAAGCAGAGACTACAATAATCTCAGTAGAACACCCGGGTCACATATTCTGGAAGGTCACTGCTTATAAATGAAATCAAAGCTCTCGACATGCACAATTTTCTTTTACTCATATCGAGAGTGCTATATGAGGAGTCTGAGATGGCAGGGAACGGGGAATTATTTCACACAGAAATTCTGCCAGTTAGTTACCAAAGCATTATGATATGCTATAAAATGGTCCCACCGTGATGGGAAGTATAGCTGTTCTTTTCCAAAATTAAACTAAATACCTAAAAATTACTCAGTCACAGAGGGAACCATGGCTCAGGAAGATGTAATTTTACTGAAGATTAACACTGAACCTGCAGAAGAAGACATTTTCAGGTTGTGGTTCATGACCCATAGTGGATGGAATAATGGACTCTGCAGCACCGAGGTACCCCTGGGAAGCCAGTGAACTTGGTGCTCCTAAGCATATGTATTAGTGAGGCTTGGTCAATCAGAAGTAATGGCTGGAGTTAATGATGGGTAACTTTTCTGCACCCGCCTCCAGGGCTTGGCTCAAATACAAACTACAGCTCATAGAACATGCATCGCAGGGCAGGTGCTTGTAGTAGCTGCTAAGACACCACTTAGGACATCCACGTGCCTTGCAGGAATGCCTGGCTTTAGGCCCTGGCTTCACTGCTGACTCCAGTGTCCTGCTAATGTGCACCTGAGAAGCACAAGGTGACAGATGGTCCCAGTGGTTGAGTTCCTGCCATTGAAACGAGAAACCTAGACTGAGTCCCAGGCACCCAGTTTCAGCTTGGCCCAGCTGCCCCTAGTACAGATGTGTGGGGAGTGAACTGGAGCATGACATACCTGTCTGTCTCTCAAAAAAAAAAAAAATAGAACTATATAACATCATATATAAATAAGAGCTTAATAAACATAATACTGATAATAAAAAAAACATTAGCTTAAGAATATAATTCACTCAAATCACAACCCTTTTCTCTATTTTTTTTTTAAGATTGATTTTATTTTTGTTGTACCCAGAGTGAGTCACTGAGAAATGCCACACATTGAATATCTGGAATGAGTTCTTTGCTGGAGGCCCAGAGTGGGCTCATGTCTCCAAAGTTCTCTTGATCCTGAACAGAGGCAAGAAAAGGGCTTTGAAAGCTAGAAACCATAACGGCACACGGGAAGGAACAGGAACAAGCAAGAGTGGAGTCACATCTGGCCATCCCTGTGGGCGCAGAGACCCAACTGATCTACTTCTGGTACAGCTTCCTGCTAACATGCTTGGGAAAGCAACGAAGAAGAGAAACCAACACAAACACAGTTACTCTGGGCATTTTCCTTGATGACCTGGAGTTCTATTGAACAGTTGCCCAACTTCATAGTGCTTTGGTTAATAACTGCAACACAGTAAAATCACTCCGCACTCCAGGTACATCAACTCCAAGGTACACGCTATTGAACATCTTTGCCGAATCACTGCATCCTACAACTAAAAGAAAAGTCAGCAACCTGAGAAAGCAGCGAACAACAACAAAACAAGATGTACACCCAGTGCAGTTGCAGGTGGAAGGACTGAAACTCACACAGGGCTCTCCTGCTACCTCAACTACCATGATCTGGATCAGGGTACCTTTTTTACATTTTTTTCTTGGCATCATCTCTCTTGGAAGTCTTCTCCAATCTGCGGATACGAAAGAAAAAAGAAATGCCAAATTCATTCGTATCTGATTGTACAAACACAGCCTGAAAAGTTAAAACCAGTGATCTGTTTTCTTCTACCAAGAAAACTCTCACTAAAGCCACTCTGAAATAGTGTCGGAAAATGTGTTTGAAGCAAAACTTTAAATCTTTGAGGGTGTTAGGATTATAACTTTTTCGCTTAAGTGTTATTTATTTATTTATTACGCTACTTTATATTTTTTTAAGTTTTCTGTAGTTTGGTAAATATTTCTTAGGTAATAAACATAATATTAAACAATGTATTTCTAAAGGCCAATTTTTTACAAAAAAAGTATGTGACCATAATCCTTCCTAACACAATAAAAAATGAAATAATTTGAACAATTATCTGAAAAAAAAAGCAAAAATAATTGTAAAAAAAAAATTAATAAAATTCTTGGGGCTGGCACTGTGGGATATCGGGGTAAGCCTCTGTCTGCATTGCCAGCTGTATTTCTAATCCAGATATCTGCTAATGCCCCTAGAAAAGCAGCAGAGGATGGCCCAACAGCTTGGGGCCCTGCACCCATGCGGGAGACATGGATGAAGCTCCTGGCTCCTGGCCACAGTCACCGCAGCCTCTGGGGGAGTGAACCAGTAGATGGGTTAAGAGCTGGCTCCCTGACTTGCTCTGTAACTCCATAATGCAAATAAATATAAAGAATAAAAACTAAACTCTTTCTAATAAATGACTGTCTCTATATTAGCTAAAATTCCTAATTTTTAAAAAAACTTTATCAAGCTTACAGTCAAGCATAAATTTGAAGCAAAATATGGATTGAGGAATACTATTGACTAGGAAATAAATCTTGGTCTGTACCTGCAGGAAAGAGCTGAACCACAAGTCATCTGACCTGGTCAAAGCTTGGTTAGAAAGTATTTTAGTTCCTCTGCCGTCAGAGATCACAACAAAGCAGGCAGAAAGAGCATGTGGGAGAGGGTGATCACACACAGACCTAGGAGAGTGTCTAAGGCCCTCAAGCTGACATGGCATCACAGCCTGTGCAAGCAACAACGCCGGCGGCATCACTCACACTGTTCCCTGACACTGAGGACAGAGACATAAAAAGAAAATGAAGCAAAATGGGGAGATCTGGCACCTATTTTTCATTTGCAAACGAACGAGCTGATGAATTCCCTCCAGAAAGTTAGACCCAGGAGTGAGAAGGGTATGCAGTGTCCCACGTGAGTGGCAGGGACCCAATCCCGGCACATTGCTGCCTCAGCAAGTGTGTGTTACAAGGAGCTAGATCAGCAGCTGCAACAGACCCAAACCCCGGCCCGGCCCTGGGAAGGGAGCGTCCCACGCCGTGCCTTACTTTCTACACCAGAAGCTGACTTGTCAAGGTCAGACATGAATGTTGCAAACAGAACTCTAAGGCAAAGAGTACACGGCCTCCGGAGAGAAGGCAAGACCCACGACCCATGCTTCTAACGTTCCCCAAACCGAAGCTTTTGCTTTGTTTCAGAAAACTCTGAACTCACTGAGGAGTCACGAAGCGGGGTCTTCTCAGTATCCCCCATGAAAATCTAACATTTTGGGAAGCCCAAAAGCATTTGGTAGGCTCTGTTTTTGTTAACAACGTATTTTGAGTATTTGTCCAAACTTTGGCTCATCTTTCTTAAAAGAGTTTTTCAGATTAGTTTTCAAAAGATTAACATTAGTAACCCACTGTAGAAAAAACACTGCTTTCTTATGATGAAAACAGAAAATATCCTGCAAAAATATGGAGTATGGACACTGCCTTCAAAATTATTTTAACATGATCTGTCTTATAATTACCTGGCATCCATTCTTCTTTGTATGCCTTCATACATCTTTTGCTATACCTTTCAATATCTAGAGGGGAAAAAAGGATAAAGAATTTATTAGGAAAACCAAGAATAAACTCCTTCTCTAGAACTGGAAATATGAGATGACATCATTTATTCCACATTACGAGGCGTTTCCCAAATTTTCTATAAAGTGCTCTTGGGAGAAGTGCCGGGAGAACAGGCTCCACAAGGTGGTAGGAGTCATTGGGCCTGACAGGTTGGGGCCAATGGGGACAATGCAATCAGAGACCTGAATTATCTGTCAGACTACGAGGGCATAGCAAAGAATACATGCAAAGTGCATACTGTGTGGGAGGGAAAAAAAAAAAAACTATGCAAGAATTTTTTAAAAAGTGCACCAAAATCAATATCTCTTAGTTCCATTTTTCCTGAACTTTCTAAAGCCCACTTGTTGCCAAAGCCCAGAGTCAGGAGACCAGTTGTGTGTGTGGCAGAGTTACAGACAGACAGAGAGAGGAGAGCTTGCATTAACTGGTTCATTCCCCAAATATCCCTAACGGCCAGAGCTGGGACAGGTGGAAGCCAGGAGCTGGTCACTCCACCTGGGCCTCCTCTGTGGCTGCAGGACGCTCCTCCCCTGCCTTCCAAGGTGCTTTAGGAAGGAGTTGGATCAGAAGTGGAGCAGACAGGACATGAGTGGCTGAGAAGGCAACAAGGCCTGCTGGGCATGCTCTGCCAGCATCCTTAAAGCCAAATATAAAACATAAATTTGGATTTGCAATACGCGACAACAGTTTTTATTCTTTCTCAATTGACAGACTTACTGATATAATTCATGTACGTAAAACTCAAATATATACACGCACGACTCAGTGACTAGTCGTGCAGCCAATACCACCATGTCATTTCTACAGTTTATTCCTCATCCTGAAAAGAAACTCCATGCCCATCAGATGCCACTACTTGCCCTCCCCTCCCTCAGCACCTGCTCTCTCTGTCTCTAGTGATCCCCTTGCTCTAGACATTTGTTATAAATGCAATCACACAATGCGTGCCTTTCTCTGCCAGGCTTCTTACACACGTTTTCAAGGCGATCCATGGCACTGTGCATGTCAGGGCTTTGGTCATTTTTATGGCTCAGTAATGTTCTATGGATACACCACCTTTCAACATCCACAGGGGCACTAAACCAACAACAGCCAGGACTGGTTCAGTCCAAAGCCAGGAACCAGGAACTCCATTTGGGTCTCTAGTCCCTTGACCTATCACTGGCTGCCTCTCAGGTTGATTGACAGAAGGAAGCCAGAATCAGCAGCAGACCTGGGACGTTGGGACTTGAACCTGGGCACCTGAGTGTGGGACGCCGGCATCCCACATAGTGTCTGAACTGCTAGGTCTGATGTGTGCTCTCCTTGCGGTTTTGAGTTACGTTTCCCTAAAAACTAACCAGTAACACTGAGCTTTGGGTCATGGGCTTTCTCCCGCCTGGGTATCCTCTTCAGAGAAATGGCTGTTCAAATCCTAGCCCTTCCTCTCCCCATTTTCTGCCTTTTTCAAATCGGGTTCTAACAGTTTTTTAGTACCCACTTATTCTTCTGTAAATGCTTGGAAAGCAACTTTGAAATATTTAAAAACATAAAAAATAATGCATTGTACAGACAATAAGTAAGAAAAACTCTTTGCCTAACTCTTTGTGTAGGGTACTACGCAATTCACACGAACACTTTAAGGATCTGACACACTTTTAAATTAGACGTGTGCTTCAAAAACCACATTCAGTTACGTAAATCTGCCCACAATCTGGGGAAAAGATTACTTTCAAAAGGACTCAAGTGTACTTTGCGTGCTGATTATTTTTTCTAATGACAGTTTAACAAGAACAAGCATTCATTGTTCATTTATTCTTCCCTTTTAAGCCTTTAAAATGAAAGCTTTGTTATGGAAAGATTTTTTTTTTAATTTGAAAGGTAAAGAGATGAGAGAAAAATGAAAGTTTTCATTTTCCAACTATAAAAAGACGAAACGGACAATAAGGGAAAGTAAAATCATTTGGTGTTTTGGCAAACTAAACAAACTATGCTGTAACTCCAAGCAGGTAAGTTTTAAAAACTAAATGAATTTGTGGAAAACGCCTCCTCCAACCCTAAGCACATCCCAAGATGACTCTGTAAGACTTCCTGCTTAAGTCACTTTCGAGTCTTTTAGACAGAGGCAAATGGAATGCATTTTTAATACTAATGGGATAAGCTGGTAACGCCATGCGCTCCTCATGTTTTAATGATGGACTCTAAAGAAGCTGAGGATGTTATTGATCTCTAATTTCAATTAAGGGCGGACACTGACAATCAATATAGTTCTGCTCGGGGGGTGGGGGTCTTCCCGTCCTCCAAAACCACTTCCCACTTGCAGCCGGAAGCCGCTGAGCCTTCTCCAACTCACGTCGCCTCTTGCACTTGGCTGCGCCTGTCTGCTATTCTCTGGCACACCAGCTCTCACCATGGACAAACACATGGAAAGCTTTTAAAAGCTCATAACTTAGATACAAAGTAATCAGAGGCAGGGGTAAGCATGAACAACCATGACAGCCACCACGGCAACACATGTGTGAGCAAAAGAACTTAAACTCTAACCACATGGAAACAGTGGACGAACCGTGTGACAGCCACACAGCAGAAAATCATTAAACTCGTATTTTTTCAAAAATAGTAAGTTGTTCATATGAAAATGTTAATAATGTGCTCCTGGATGCAAGAAAGGAAGACAGGAAGTCACATGCTCCAACCTTCTGAAGAGTTTACTTTCACAAGTAAGTTCACGTCTGCCCTTTTGGAAACTGATGGGAGAATCCCACACAAGAGACCCTCCCAAAGAGCATGTGGAACACAGTCAAGCTCAGTACCAGTTCCTTAGGCAGAGTCATGGGAAACATTTTACACACAGTCTTCACTGACCACCTACAACTTCTACCGTGAACACTGTTTTAGAAACTAAAGTATCAAAATATCATTTCTGCTAACATAGACACTTAGGTTCAAAATAGCTGATCATGTCTGATTACACTGAATTAGCATGGAATGAGAACACTCTGTGCCTAAACCCGGCCTCATCTGCACGTTTTCAACCATATCCTCAGGGTCCAGCACGCACCTTGCTTCTCCTCAGGTGGCTCAATAAAGTAAGGCATTCGTTTCATGGTTTCTCTCAGTTCCTGTTTCAAAGCCAGCATATACTCTTCGCCTTCCCCTGTTTTCAGCGGCACTGGCTTATAATCTGTATCCTATTGAAGACACGAAGGTAGTTTTAATGAGTCAAACAGTTTCATTACCTATTTTGTCTATTTCCTAGAAAACATCAGTTTTACTGAAAAGCTATGTTTTCCTGGGCACTGTGTGACAACCAATTTGAGAGATGTTGAGCGTCTGTGATCCTTTAGTCTGTTTCCTATGTTGCTCTTATTTTAGAGACAGGAAAACTACTATATTGGCTGCTAACGAATGTGACTACACATTGCAAAAACCCATCATTGGGTCCACTGTGGACCTCTTGGGTGGGTTTCTACCCAGCTTCCTGCTAATGCGCCAGAGAAGCAATGCATGCCACGCAAGTCATTGGATTCCTGCCACCACTGGGAGACCCTGGAGCAGACCCCGTGGGTCTTGGCTCTGACCTGGCCCAGCCCTGAAGAGACAGATGGAATCTTTTTCTGTTACTCTGTCTTTCAAATACATTTTAAGTGAATTAATTAAAATAGAAACTGAAAATCAAACATTTAAATGAGAGCCACTGCCTTAGCTACTATTTTACTGTAAAATAATAGCAGCTATTATTTACCAAGAGGTTACTTAGATCAGGATGTACTAAACAGTCAACACTCATGATCTCATCAACACTCATAACAACATTTTCCCTTTTATGGTAAAGAAAATCGTGAAGAGAACAAGCAGCAACCCCATATAAGCAGCAGGTAGCAAAGCAGGAGCTGCAGGCGACATTTCAGCATTTTGAAGTTACATGCATGAATGCGTATGTGTATATATTTACATTTTCATATATTCAGTTAAAAAGGGTCCCGAGGATAAAGGGTTTCAGAGGATAAGGATAGGGCATCTTTTCAAACTTATCGTGCATTCCCTGACTTCACAACAACCTACTGAGTGTCTGAAACATAGTCTAGACAAATTTGTTCAAGTCTCTGTCCCCATGAACATAGGCAAACCAGTGAAGTCACATACAAATTCAAGTAGCAACAAATTTACTTCCATCAATTTAGAAAACTGATTGAAAAATCCTATACACGAGATCTTGCTGAAACAAAAGCAAGTGATCCCTTGTATTTTATCAAAGGAGCCCCCTTGATCCAACCCAGGTACAGCCGGCCAACAATGTAAGTTTGGTTTTTTAAGATTTAATTTATTGGAAAGGCAGACCTACAGAGAAGAGAGAAAGATCTTTCATCCTCTAATTTACTCCCAAAGTCGCCACAACAGCCGGAGCTGAGCCGATTTGAAGCCAGGTGCTAGGAGCTAGAATCAGGAACCTCCTTCAGGTCTCCCAAGCAGGCACAGGGTCCCAAGGCTTTAGCTACCATCTGCTGCTTTCCCAGGCCACAAATTAGGAGCAAGATGGGAAATGGAACAGCCAGGACAACAACTGACATCCATATGGGATCCCGGTAGATGCAAGGTGAGGATTTACCCACTGAGCCATTGCATTGGGCCCAGCAATGTATGTTTTTAATGTAATTTTAAAAATCACTCAAATGCCTGCATGACTTTTCACATTTTTAGATTGGATATGTGCTTTAGCAACAACACATTCAGTTAAGTAAAACTGCTGCATGATCTAGAAAAAAGAAGAAGTTTAGGACTGCAGCAGGACCAGTGCTGTGGCAGAACAGAATAAGCTGGCACTTAGGCTACCAGCATGTGAAGTCCCAGCTGCTCCACTTCCGATCCAGATGCTGATTAAAACACCTTGGAAAGGAGGGGACAATGCTCAGGTGCATAGCCCCTCCCACCTAGCTGGCATACTCAGAAGTTTCAGGTTTCTGCCTTTGGTCTAGCTCAACTCCAACCATCGCAACCATCTGGGGAGCAAGCCAGCAGGTGGAAGGTCTTTCTGCCACTCTGCTTTTCAAAAAAATAAAAATAAATCTTTAAAAATAGTCCTTCTTTTTCTAAGGAGTATTTAAAGAACAGAATGATTAGTTTTTAGTTCACATGGCTTTCCAGTTTTAAGTAACAGTGAAATGCAGGCAGGCACAGGCAAATTAAGAGAGAGCTACCAAGGCTTTGGCTCAACTCCACAGGGAGAGTGTACAAGGTTAAATCACATTGAAGCAAATGCCCACATACAATTAGGAAGCCATTCATACACAGCTTGGAGAACAGATGGTCTCAGCCCGGGAGCCAACAGCCCAAAGCCCCAGGGGGAGCAGCAGGCCAGCACTGCTGGGGAAAGGGCCATGGTCAGCAGAAAGGCCAGCTCATGCATGGCCTTCCGGACAGGTACAAGCAATTTCACCTTTTTAAATATTTCTTTGGTTCTGAATTTGAAAAGCAAAGAGAAAGAGGCAGAGTATTGAGGTCCACTGGCCTACACCCTAGTATCAGAAGCCTGCAGCCAAGAATTCTATCCACGTCTCCCAACGTACATGGCAGGGACCTTGTCATTTCAGCCATCAGCGCCACCTCCCCAAAGCTGTGCAGGCAGGAAGCTGGAGTCAGGAGTAGACTTGGGTATGAAACCGATGTACCTGACATGGAACATGAACATCTCAGCCAGGATTCTAACCACTAGGTCAAATACCAATATTGGGGCCTGGTGTGATGGCTCTGTTGGCTAATTCTCCACCTCCAAGCACCAAGATCACATATGGGCGCCAGTTCATGTCCCCGCTGCTCCACTTCCCGTCCAGCTCCAAACCTGTGGCCTGGGAAAGCAGTCAAGAATAACCCAAAGCCTTGGGACCCTGCACTCACATAGCAGACCAGGAAGAGGCTCCTGGCTCCTGGCTCTGGATTGGCTCAGCTCTGGCTATTGTGGCCATTTAGGGAGTGAATTAGCAAATGAGAGATCTTGTTCTCTGTTCTCTGCCTTTCCAATAAAAACAAAACAAATATATATATATTTTTAATAAAAGCCCATACTGGATAATGTAACTTTATTCCATGTATAAATCAATACCCATACCATCATTTTCAGTGTTTACACATATCTCCTCAAACATGCAGAAGAGCTTATTTGTTTGATATCTGCTTCCATGTGTGCTTAATACTAAAAACCTTTTCGCTGTATTAATATATTAAAAGGGTGAAAACCAAGCCCCAAAGGCCAACTCCCTTAGCGATACACACAAAACCCCAGTTACATCTGGCCAGGGTCCTCTACGTCCATGGAGCCTTCCACAAGGGAGTGTTCCTTTTGAAACAGGGATTTGGCTTCCTGAAGGGAAGGTTATCTGATTACTTATAACTTTGCATATTTTGTACCACTGCACACGAACATGTAGAAATACACACATCTTCACTAAATATGAGCACATTTAGTATCACGTACCTTGCAGCACACTTATGGAATTAAGAAACACCCAATGTAGTGGATATCCTGTTTTCTAAAAAACAGGATTAAAACTGATAGAAGAAATAAGGGAAAAATTAAAGCTTCAATGGGGAAAATGATATGTGGCATAATGAGGAAGATTAAAATCTGTAAGCAAAAACATGAGGGAAATTAAGTGAAAGTCTGTGGAATGGAAACTGAGAGCCACCATACAATCTAACACGATTTTTTGAAATGACTTGAAAGAGCCAGAGTTGTGCTACAGTGGATTGAGTCTGCCTCCTGTGATGCGAGTATCTCGGAGTGAAGCTCTGCGTCAATTCCCAGTTGCTCCACTTCTGATCCAGCGCCCTGCTAACACTCCTGAGAAAGCCGCAGAAGATGGCCCATGTGTGTGGGCTCCTGCACCCACATGGGAGAACCAGACAGAGTTCCAGGCTCCTGGTTTCAGTCTGGCCAATGTGGTCATTGAGGAGTGAAGCCACAGATCTCTCTTTGTCTCCTTCTATGTCACTCTACCTTTGAAAGAAATAAAAGCTAACAAAATGCATTAAAAAAAAATAATCGAAACACACCTACAGTTTCTTAAGAGGCTATTATCATGATACCACCCATGCACATCAAACTCAGAAGTTTAATTTTCTAAGCAATGTGAAAACACACACGATGCGACTTGGCTGGTGGCTTACTTACCGGAAACACTGGTGGTGGTTTCAATACTACATCAGGTAACTTATCTCCTCTGTTGAACCCCACAGCCTCGATATTGAAGGTATAGGCAGCACGCCCCCTGCCTTTGTTCCCAGCCATCAGCACCGGCTATGCCAGGAGAGAGGGTGAATTCTGAAAGAGACCGTTAGTGACTCAGATGGATGAGGGCTCATGAGGAAGAGGCCATTATCTTCAAACCAAATGAAGACAGAACATAGCTAAGGTAAAATAATTCTCACAAGGAAAACGTGCAAAGAAACAAAGAGGTGCCAATTGTTTTATGGTTTAGTAAGAAATACCTACAACTGCCAAGTAAGAGGGAAGATGCACTTGTATTGTTCTTTAATTTTGCGGATAGCAGAGCTATCATCACAATCCAGGTTGCATGCTCAACTTCTGAGTTCTCTCAAGCTTGATGATACTAAAAAATGGTGGCACTTCAAAACCTCATGGAAAAGGTAATTAAAATACAACTTTACTGCGATGTGAAAAATACAGAAATCTGGGGCTGGTGCAATGGCTCAACTGGCTAATCCTCCATCTCTAAGTGGTGCTGACTGGTGTCCCAGCTGTTCCACTTCCCATCCAACTCCCTGCTTGGCCTGGAAAAGCAGTAGAGGACGGCCCAAATCTTTGGGACCCACATGGGAGACCTGGAGGGGGCTCCTGTTGCAGGCATTTGTGGAGTGAACCAGTGGATGGAAGATCTTTGCCTCTCCTCTTCTCTGTAAATCTGTCTTTGCAATGAAAATGAATAAATCTTTTTTTTTTAAAGATTTATTTTTATTATTTTTTCATTGGAAAGGCGGATATACAGAGAGGAGAGACAGAGAGGAAGATCTTCCGTCCGATGATTCACTCCCCAAGTGAGCGCAACGGGCCGATACTATGCCGATCCAAAGCCAGGAGCCTCTTCCGGGTCTCCCACACGGGTGCAGGTTCCCAAAGCTTTGGGCCGTCCTCGACTGCTTTCCCAGGCCACAGGCAGGGAGCTGGAAGGGAAGCGGGGCTGCCGGGATTAGAACCGGCGCCCATATGGGATCCCGGGCGTGCTAGGCGAGGACTTAACCACTTGCGCCACCGCTCCGGGCCCGAAAATGAATAAATCTTAAAAAAAAAAATCTAGGAATTCATTTTTCAAGAACTTTGCGCAGATATTTGCATATGAATAGATTTTTAAAAAAACTGGCTTTGATAACAACCTTCTCCTAATTCTGCTTTTTTCCATGAATGTCCTAAAGTTCCCAGGCAGACATGAACCTGCAGTGTACTAAGAGGGACCTGCACTCCAAAGCATCAACCGTGGAATTCATGATTATCATGCAGTGTTCCTCTCTCTCTTCCAACTGACAACACCGCTGTCATTGAATCCCATGAGCCTAGGACAGGGCTCTGCTTCTGAACCCTGTGCAGACAGACAGGCCCCACCTCTGCCCGCCACTTCCCTCTGCGGGCCAGCACCCCACACAGATGCTGCCCAGGGATCCTGGCCAAGCCAAAAAGGTCACCAACACCTTATTCCTGCTCACCAGTGGGGAAGGACCACCTCCTAAAGCCACCAAGGGCCTCTGCTGTGTCTCTTTCTTTATGCAATTTGAACATAGTTTCACTAAAGGCCTTGGAAATCCCAGCTTCCCTCATCTGAGGGCTGACAGTTCTCATCCCCTCTTGCCTTTAGAACTTCTACAAGATTTGAGCAGGTGCAGGCATTCAGCACAGTGGCTTAAGCCAAGCTTGGGACATCTGCATCCCTTCTCAGAATGCCTGGCCGCTCCACTTCAAACCCATCTTCCTGCCAATGCAAACCTTCGAAGGCAGCAGGGGGCAGATCAAGTCCTCAGGTCCTTGCCAACCAGGTGTGAGACATGAATGCAGTTCACGGCTCCTCCTGGCTTTGGCCCAGTTTAGCCACAGCTTGTAGCCATTCAGGAGGTGAACCAGCACAGGGAATGTCTCCCTGCTTCTCCAGATGCTGCATCTAGGGTAGTGTTTTCAACGAGTACACAGTATGTAGCAGTATCACCTGGAACTTTCTAGAAATGTAAGGTGTTGGGCCCCACCACAACCCCAAGGAAAACATGTCCCTGAGTATGCAACAACGAACTGAGTTTAAGGAACCTTTCGGATGTTTCTAACACATGCTGATGTCTGTGAATCACAGGGACAAACCAATCAAGATCTCGTGGGGGCTAGGGCTTGAGCAAGAGCAGTCTGGAGAGTTTACTGGGTGGTGCAGTTCAGGGAGAGGGCTGAGAGGATCTTGACGAATACCCTAGGGGAAGCCTGGGCTGTACCTGCCATTTTGGAAATCTGGAATCTGATCAAATTACCCTTAACAATTTAAAGGAATCTCTTCAAGATAACATGACTGCTGCCAAGGGTAAGAAGCATGCTGGGAGTGACAGCCCCGCCTTTTCATTCATCTGCATGGAACAGGGGCAGTAAGGCGCTGCACCGTGAAAGCAGCAGTTTTAGGGCTCCAGCTGCAATCCAGCTCCGAGTCCAGTGACAGCCTCCAGATCTTCCAGGGATATAGAAACTAGATCATGGTCCTGTATCATGCTTCTTCAACGTTCTAAGGCACAAGCAAGTTACCTGAGGACTCTCTCCAAACCGGAGATTCTGACCCAGCTGGCCCTGGGGTCTAAAGCCTCAGGACAGCAGGGCTGTACAACTCTGGCTCTCTGCGCATTCCGGAAGAGACACTGTCTTCATCTAGGCCTCTGGTTCATTCCATCAGAACAGGTGGCCTAGAGGCTTCCCCAGTGCTCTTCCTTGGGGAGGAGCGATGCTTTCTTGGCCAAGAATACTTCAAGAAGACACCGTGTTCTCCCCACCACAGCACAACAAGATGAGCAGGGCTCTCGGGGCCAGGTGCACACAACTGGCGCAGCCCAGCCCAGATGCCCACTGCCTAGACTCAGCATTCCAGCTTCCCATTCTCTGTTTTATCAACTGCAATTCTCCCTCACCCACGACTCAGGCATCTTAACGCTCACACAGAAAAGGTGCTTATTAAAATAATCAAGCTCCTGCCATCTGTGCATACTGATGGAGAGGGGACTGATCCAAGCAGCCTGATTTTCAACTGCTGAGTCACTGAGGCACTTGCAGAGCCTGCAGAGAGGCCAGGGGGTGCCAAGGTAACCAGGCAGCAGAAGGGTTCACACCTCTGCTCCAGGCAACAAGTACAAGGAGCCCAAGGTTACAGTCAAGGCCCCGGGCGGCCTACAGATAAACACCAAGTCCAGGTGAAGTTTACCAGACTTGCCTGATGGTAGGAAATTAGAGGAAGACAGGTGGGCAGCCCCTGCAGGGGAGGAAAGGCATCGCTGGAAACCTTTGACACACAGCACAGTGCTAGGAGCCTGAGCACACTGAACAAATCAGTCTCTAGTCCTTCGAAACGTACCTCCCCCTGAGTGTCTCTACCACATTCCCTACTGTCTCACTTCTGATTAGCCACAAACATCACGGTATCCCAGGTCCCTTCCTCTTTCATTGATTATTGTACTCCTCTTACCTTAACCTTTCAGCTGACTTAAGTCCATTTTGTTTTTTAAGTAGAAAGGCAGATTTACAGAGAGGAGAGACAAAGATACTACTTCCACTGATTCATTCCCCAGATGGTCCCTATGGCCAGAGCTGAGCTGATCTGAAGCCAGCATCCAGGAGCTTCTTCCCAGATCTCCCATTAAGGTGCAGGGTCCCAAGGCTTTGGGTCATCCTCCACTGCTTTCCCAGGCTACAAACAGGGAGCTGGATGGGAAGGAGAGCAGCAGGGACACATATCAGCACTCATACGGGATCCTGGCACCCACAGGGGAGGATTCGCCAACTGACCCATCATACTGGGACACTGGAGTCCAATGTTGACAACCAATCTTCTGGAAAAAGATCCTAGAATTAAAAAGCAAGTTTCTTCTTTTTTTTTTTTTTTTTAAGATTGAGATGATACAGAATACAGTAATGTTCAACTCCAGAAGAAATACAGAACCATGGCCTTTGGGAACTGGGCCCATGTCTTCTATCGCCTGGTTTCCTCAAGTATTAACAACAGAGAGTTTATTTCGCAGCAGCAACTGCTCCTTGATGAATGTGAAGCTCTCTTTATCCCAGGCACCGGGACTTCGTAAGCACATCTACCTACAGAAGTACAACTCTGTGAGCCCATGGCCAGGGTTGTGCTTGTTGCTTGTTTCGCTTGTTGAGTGCTAAAGTTGAGGCCCTAACTTTACACTGGAATTCCCAAGACAGCTTCCACAAAAATGGAGCGGCAGGAATTCGGTGGCACACTCAGGTCACCTCCTGGGAAGCCTGCATCCCACATTCAAGCGCATGCATCCGGTGCCTGCTGCGGCACTTCCAACCTGGCTTCGTGCCAGCACGCGCCCTGGGCGAGCAACTGACAGCTTAAGCGCTTGCTCCCTGCCACCCGTGGGGGAGACTTGCATGGACTCAGCCACACCCAGTCCTAGCTGTTGCAGACACTGGAGAACAGAAGAATGATGGGAGAGACTTCTCACCAGTCTGTTCCTACCTACCGAATAAAATGAAAATTAATATTTTTTTATTAAAAACAAACAAACAAACACTTAGCACTCACCAGAGGCAAACCAGAGTCTGTGCAGGTACGATCAGGCTGCAGGGCTCTGTCAAGCCGTGCAGGTGATCACGACGTGTCACGTGAGTTAGGAACCACCGCAGAGCCAAACTCCCACTTGAAAGAACAAAGTGAAGTTTTCAGAGGTTAGCGGACTACCCAAGGATGCAAACTGAGTTCCAAACCAAGGACTGAGGGGCTGGTGTTGCAGCACAAGAGGTTAAGCTGCCTCCTGCAACACCGCTGTGATTCAAGTCTCAGCTGCTCTGCTCCCTGCTAACGCACCTGAAGAACAAAGGAAGTTGGCCCCAGTGCTTGACCCTCTGCCAACCACAATGGAGACCTGGGTGGAGTTCCAGGCTCCCAGCTTCAGCCCTCCCCAATCCTGGCTGCTGTAGCCATTTGGAGAGTGAACCAGTGGATGGAAGCTGGCTATCTGCCCCTCTGACGTCAGTCCTTCCAACTGTTGACACCCCCTGTAAATTCCCATTCAGAGTTGCTCTGAGAGGGTAGTCGAACCACCAGGAACTGCAACGCAACCTTGTGGCCAATGCTGTGTTCCTTTCTGGACATCCCTTCCAGGGCTGACATCCTACCAGGATGAGGCAGGACTTGGTTTCTTGCTCCAAGGAACTGGATCAGTCCGTGCAGAGACCGACGCGGGGAAGCAGGCTGGGACCCTGGGGGAGGCAGTGAGAGCCTCGTCCGTCCCAGCATCTCCCCAGCTGAATGAGCCCCAAGGGGCCCCAGGGAGGAGCATTGGCATCCAACAGCTCAAGCCCAGCAGCTCCCTGTCCTCTCTCCCTTCCTGCCGGCCTTTGACTCAGCTTTCCTTCAGACCCTCAGCATCTTGCACGCGGTCAAAGAAAATGAAAATACACAACAGACAGCAAATGCATGTCTCTGTCCAGATGTGTCCTGCACTCCCTCTGCAGCTTCCTGCCACTCACTGTCAGTCTTGCCCAGCCAGCTCTGGCACGTGGGGTTGCCTCTGCCTGGCGTGTCAGCCTGCCACAAGGGCGCGAGCACACCTTAACGCCTTCCACGAAGTCATACAGTTGACGCTGCTCAGCCCCGCTCTTCACCCTCTGTTTCCAAGTACAGCCCTGTTCCCACCATCCCTTTCACATCAGTGTCACCATCAGGACTGTCAGTCTCCTGAGGTGGGTGGAGTCTCTTCAGCGACCCGCCCATCAAATACGTATTAATAAGCACCTCTGTATCTGGTCTCAGTTTAAGATCTGAGAATGAGGCCATGGAGAAAGCAGAAACTCTGAAGGAGCTCAGGATCTAAGATGGGAAATGGGACAAAATGCCCCTTCACACAGTCAGGGAGTAGCAGGTGTGATAACAAATAAATCAGTAGTCTCATTCAGAAACACTGGAGCACACATCTGACAGGAGCAAGGGCGGAAAGCCCAGCCAAGGAGAAGGTGAGTTATCCAGGGAAGGCTGGGTGGGACTCAGGCAGGAGATATGCGAGCTGAGGGCCCACTGGAAGGCTCAAGGCCCACCCATCTCTCACCAAGGCATGGGAGGAGCCCCAGGGCTCCTGAGGGGATTTCTGCTGAGCTCATGGCCTAAGAGTGCTGCAGTTCAGCCCAGCAGCTTCCCCTCTGCCTGGAGGAATAACCCCCAGACAGGCTTTCCTGGGCGGCCAAGCTCCCAGCCCCAAGTCTAACGCCAGGGCAGCATCATTCCCAACCACCCCTACCTTGCCTTTCCTGTGAGCCCTGTTTGCCACCACCAGTATACTCTCTTCCATACACTATCCATCCAGGACTTGGGTGTAAAGTGAGTCCCCTGCCTAGTTACTGGATAATCTCAAACTAGGTTGCCTAGCATTCCAGGAGAGGAGGGGAGGGGCGCCCGGAGCACCTGCCTGGGAAAGGATCCTCCCTAAGGATCTTTCATTGTGCTGTCTCATGGGTCTCTTCACCGTTTCTGCTGGCTCAGCAGGAAGATGAGTCAGGTGGAGCTTGGGACCAACATTCTGGAAGCCGAAACAGACGCTCCCACCGTGTGGGGAGTGGGGACAGGGACCACTCCCGGAGTTGGCGGGGCTACTACAGCCAGTCATCATTCACTTTCTCCGTCTCTGAAGGTGCCTCACCTTGACTGAGTTAAGCCTTTCTACAAACTTCCTTTACTCTTTCCCAACAGCAGAAAAAACCACGAGGGAGAAGACAGAAAATGTTGACTTGCATCACATTGGCCGAATTAGCAGACCCCTTCGCACGCCACAGGCGTCCAAAGCGCCGAACCGGGTGCTGCTGCGGGGCTGCACCCCGCAGCAGCTACCAGCGCCCGGACCAATCCCAAGCTCCGCCAACGGACCATCGCCAAGCGCCTAAATCCCCCTCAAACTCACTACAGCCAGGAAGTGCAGGCTGCGTTCCCACAGCCGGGAACGAGGTTCTTCAGACCTTCAACGGGAGCAGGGAAGCAGGGGGCCACCTCACAGCGCCCCTCACTCCAGAGGCGCTGGCATGGGGGTCTCCCCCGGTTCCTCGGCTTCCCCACGCGCCCCTCCATCCCTCCCCTGCCCCGCCAGCCCCCTCTCCCAAGCCCTCACCCGCTTCCTCCGTCACCTGCTCACTAAAGTCTCCACGCTCGGCCAAAACTGCAGCCCGAGTGCGGGACGGCCGTGCTCGCGCGGAGAGCGCCGGCGCTCGGCTGCCCGCCGGTTCCCCGAGGCGCGCACCGCCCTCCACGCGGCCGCCGAGCCGCGTTCCCAGCACCGCCAGCCCCCGGGCCCGCCCTCTCCTCGCCCAAGCCCCACCTCCGGGGCCCGGAGCTTTTTAGCCCTCGGCAGGCGCCGTAGCCGCCATCCAACCGGCCGGGCCAGCCTCGCGCTGGGCGGCCGGCCGGGAGCGCGCATCGCGGCGCAGCGGGCCCGCGGGTGGGCGGGCCTGGCTCTGCCCAAGCCTCGCCTCTGGCCTCTGCAGTCAGAGCCCCCGGGGTGGGCACGGCGTCGCGGCTGGGTGTCCAGTGTGCCGCAGTGGCCCCCAGCCGAAGGCCTCCTGGGTGCTGGCGGCTGGCGGAGCTGCACCCGGCTCCAGAGCCCTTGCTGCGGGCGGCGTCTGGGCGCGCTCCACCTGCTCCCGCGCTCCCGCCGGCCTCCGCAGCCTCCGCCCGCACGCCGTCCCCCTCCACCCCCGGCTCCGCCCCGCCGCAGCGCCCCGCGTCCGCTGAACCTGCCGAGGCCCCGGGCGCCCGCACAGCAGCCGCTCGCTTTCCCAAGCATGTCGGCGCTCGAGTGGTACGCGCACAAGGCTCTGGGCGATGGCATTTTCTGGATCCAAGAACGCTTCTACGAGTCCGGCAACCGCGCCAACATCTGGCTCGTGCGCGGCTCCGAGCAGGACGTGGTGATCGACACGGGCCTGGGGCTGCGCAGCCTGCCGGAGTACCTGTACTCCTCCGGCCTCCTCCAGGACCGCGGCGCCAAGAAGGAGGAGGAGGACGCGGCCGGCCGGCCCCTGCTGGCCGTGGCCACCCACGTGCACTTCGATCACTCGGGCGGCCTCTACCAGTTCGACCGAGTGGCCGTGCACCACGCCGAGGCCGAGGCGCTGGCCCGCGGGGACAACTTTGAGACCGTGACCTGGCTCTCCGACAGCGAGGTGGTGCGGGCGCCCAGCCCCGGCTGGAGGGCCAGGCAGTTCCGCGTGCCGGCGGTGCAGCCCACCCTCATCCTGCAGGATGGTAATGGGTCCTCCGCAACGCGGGCGCGCACGCGAGGGTGTATTCCCGCGAGGGTGGGGATGCGGTGGTAGACCACCCGTGGTGCCACGGCGAGAAGGCGGTTGGACCAGACTGGGCCAAAGCCCTCCCCAGCACCCCCAGCCCCCCGCGAGCGCAGCCGGTCCCACTCCCTGGGCAGTGCCCCGCGCCTGTTGCTGCGGGGGCTTCGGGGATGCTCAACCCGGCCTGTGGTTCCCAGGCACTTGGATAGCGGAGTGGACCAGACTCTTAGGAAGGTCGCCTCCCGGGAAGGGCACGTCGAGGTGCTTTGGAGAGGCACTATGGCCGCCGCAGGGCCGAAGCCCTTTCCACCTGTAGGCTTAGCATGCAGTCCAAACCGAGAGTCCAGGCTGCTCCCGTACGGGCTAAGTGGGGTTTACGTTCCTGCTGTTGCCTAGGGAGAGAAAAAGCTTGATAGTGAAGGGAGGCGAGCGAAATGCTTGAAGCTCTCCGATGATGAAGGAAAAAGCTGGTCAGCTTGGAAAGGGGACACAGGGGGACAGGGAAGGTGACTTTCGGTGCAGGTGAACTGTGTTGTGGCTGATGCAGAGACCGCCCCGGGCCCCCCGCTCGTGTGCTCCAAGAGGCAAGAAAGAAATCAAACTAAGCCCTGACAGATATTCCCTCCCCAGGCTGGTATTTAAATAATCAGGCTGATTAGCCGTAGCAGAGATATCTGGTGTTATTAATGTCCTGCTTGGTCTGATTACATTTTGTCCTCCATGCGTTTGCAGTGGGCTCACTGACCTCCAATGAAACGCTTTGCTCAGGGTCGGCTGAGCGAGGTCATGATTTAAAGAACTGGGTTTTGGACCCAGTTAATCAAAGCGTGCAACTCCCATGTAAATCAGCCCCCATGATCACATGATGCAACATGTCAGAGCTTTTTTCTATCAGTCTGGTTAGGTAAATGCCATCACCAGGTGCAAAGATCGAGTGGCTGCCCAACAGCGCGGGGCTGGCTGCGTGGCCACGCAGAATGGCTGAGAGTGGAGCAACTTGTAGACATCAGTTATCCTACACGTGAGGTTAAGATGTTACAAGATTTGGTATGTTATCACTCAGTGCATCTCTTAGATAAACTTAAGACCTAAGTTGTTTTTTTTTTTTTTTTTTAAGATCAATTTAATTTTATTTGAAAGACAGAGTTGAGGAGAAGAACGCCAGGGGGAGAGAGATCTTTATCTCTTGGTTCACTCACCTAATAGCCACCACAGCCCAAGCTGAGCTAGTCCAAAGGCAGGAACTGCTTCCAGGTCTTCCACGCGGGGCGGGGGCCCATGGACTGGGCCAGCTTCTGCTGCTTTCCATTAGCAGGGAATGGGATCAGAAGCAGAACAGCCAGGACCCAGACCAAATGGAATGCTGGCACTGCGGGTGGAGACCCAACCTACTGTCAACAGCACTGGGCTGTAACCTGAAGGTTGATAAGAACTGCTCACTTTAGAGGGGATTCTGCCATTTCCTGACAGTTTGAAATGAGACAAAAGCAGACTGACACTGGATCTATTTTGTCTTTCTGGATACAGTTGGTACTTTTAAAATTAAGATTCCCGTGCAGTCAGTGAATAGTTAGACCAAATTAAAAACAACTCTAGACATTAATGTGATGAAGCATTTAAGTTATTCTAAGAGAATAATTTACTCTTAATTCTGTGAGAGCCACGGGAGGGGTCACCATTGGATTCTCCGAAGGTGGAGAGTCCACCTTAATAGCAGAAACGCAGCAGTTTTTAGCTGTAGAGGGCCTGCAGGCTGCCTGGAGCCGTCATGAACCTTGGATGGTGTGACCAGGGAGCTGGACGCTTACCAAAGACCTGGAGCCTGAGAGCTGCGCTGTCACAATCAGTTTTTCTTTTTTTTCCACTGGGAATGAGCTGCCTCACTCTCCCAGGTGGCATCTAATTTCCTGGCTTCTCAGGAATGTTAATTTCCTGTCTCTTCCCATTGCTGAGGTCTGCTCACTTGCTATTAAGGCAGTCCAGGTGCCTAGAAGGAGATATAAAGTAGTTATATTAAAGTCGCACGCCAACACTGTGGTCTTCCTGACTTTGCTTTCAACACAGGGGAGCTGCAACCCGGTGCACGTCATGGGGCGGGCCAGCGATCCCTTCATGTAGAAGTCTAGGCCAGTGCACTTGACGTCTCTAACCCAGAAGCTGGCTTGTAAGAAGAAGGGACGGGAGAGGAGAGGACAGCCGGGTCATTAGTTCAATGGTGATAGTATCTTCACACCAGAAGACAGTAGCAGGCCATGAGTTATACAGAGCAGACACATGCGTTACGGTTATTCATAATATCCACGTCGCACAGATTCTGGCAGTCTCGTCCCTATCATATACGTTTTGTCCAGAGCCACCAAGAGACCTCGAACGAGTGGGTTTGGGTGGACCTCAGCGGGTTAGGGAGCAAGGGCAGCCCATTGAGCAGGCCTGCAGCTTGGCCCCCCTTCCCTGAACCCCACCTCTGCTGCAAGCAACTGTTCTTGGTTTGCTTTAAATGAGAGTCCATGCTGCCTGGTGGACTGAATGTGGGACGCTGTGGGATGTTACAAAGGAGGTGTGGCAGCTGAATGAGGAGCTTGATGCTACGCCCGTGGTGGGAAGTCAGGAGCCACTTCACATCCTGGACGTAAAGGCCTCAGCAGTCATCAGTAGTAGTCAGAGGATGACCCGAGTCCTGGGGACCCTGTACCCACGTGAGAGATAGGGAAGGAACCCCCGGCTTTCAGCTTCAGCGGAGCTCAGCTCCAGCCATTGCGGCCAGCCGACCCTCTCACTCCCTCCTCACTGTGAAATCTGTCTTTCTAATAAAAAGTCAATCTTTTAAAAAAAAAGCAACCGGAAAATGGTTTAGTCAGGTTGGCTGACGAGTTTTTCTGTATTCTCACTGATTTTCTGAACACCTGTTTTGTGAATTACTCAGAGAAGGATATGGAAGTCTTCAGATGTAACTACTGAATTGCTTATTTTTACTTCTGTGAATTTTTGTTTCATGGAATTTTTGGCCTCTATGTTAAGGTGCATAGGCATTTATTATTTTTGGGTTTTTTTTTTAATGGCTCATAAATTTAGAGCCTCATACTTTTTCTCTGATAATATTCCTTATGTAGAAATCTGTTTTATTATATTAGTACAACCACGTAGTTCCTTTAATGTTAATATAGTATAAACATTTAAAAAATTTTATCTTTGAACTTACAGTTTCTGTCTTATAGATTGCTTATATCTGGATATTTTGTCCAGCCTGATGATCTCTGCTGTTAATCACAGCGTTCAGTTATTGATATAGTTGGATTTATGTCTGAGGTTTTGTTAATTTTTTGAAAGTCCCTCTATTACTCCTTTATTGATTTGGCCTTATGTTTAGTAATTCCTAAGTAACATATCATTTTTATTCCTCTGCTAACTTTTTGTTTTTTGTTGTTTTTTTTTTTTTTTATATTGTTCACATACTTGAGAGGGATGCATGCCCATTTGGGCCTCTGATTAGGCCAGGTATGGAGGAGGGTGGATGGGACATATGATTCAGTTCTTTCATTTTAATTCTCCTGGCTTGCTGGAGGGGAGAAGCCCACTCCTTGCTGTGCAGCTACATCAGCACGGAGAGATGGGGGTTGATGACTCCGCAGTGTGGGAAGAACGTCCCGAGGGCGTCATTTGGGTGATTTGGATAGTGCTGAGATATTACCAGCTTCATTGCACCAGGGTTGGGAAGATCTTTGCAAAGTCTGTTGCCTGACCAAGTCCATCTTGGTGTATCCGCAGACCCAGGAACATGTTGCAAAGCTTGGCCAGGAAAATTGCCCAGCCTGTTCTGCTGTCCATCCTTTAATGAGGCAGTTGATGTGCCCTGCTGGTCCAGATGAGCTGTTATGTCCCCCATGTGTATTTGCAGCGTGCTGTCCACCACACAGGCATCAGCAAAGCAGCAAGTTAGCCTGTCACTGTGGATTCTAGCAGAAGACACGAGGCTCCTGGGTTAGACAAGGGCTGGTTCATTGCTTTGCACATAGTATTAGGCAGAGCAGTGGTGCTGGTGCTGGTTCCTCAAGGCCTCAGTCCTACAGGGGAACTTGACAAGGGGAACGGTTTAATAAAGCTCACTAGAGCAGAATTCAGAATACTGCTACGGGGGATGTCCTAAAACATAAATATGCCGTATCATTCATATCCACTACGTGTTAGTCCATTGAAGGTTCTCAGATGTCTCACAGATAGTAAAGTTGCTTTATTTTTTTTGGACACAAGAATTTCCAAAATCGTTTGAGCCCGGGATGGTCATTGATTTAGTCATACTAACGTCTGTCCACATTCCTACTCGGACAAGCACTGCTCTAGTAAACAGCAGGAGTGGAGCACACTTGGCTTACTGTTAACTTGTTAAGGAGTACAGTATTTACAAAACGAAGCCAAAATAAGTATCATCTTTCCCAATTTATTTGAAACCATTTACTATTACTTCATTCTTTATTCTTTTATGTCGTATTTATATATTTAAAAGGCAGAGTTGCAGAGTAGGGAGAGACATCTTCCGCCTGCCTGTGCACTCTCCAAACGGACCCAGTGGCCAAGGCGATGAGCCGGGGACTCCATCCCAGTCTTGCACCAGCGCTCGCACGGGCCGCCGGTGGGGCACCACAGTCCAGCTCCTATCTGGTTGGGGTCAGGTGTACACCATGTTTACCTGCAAACCCTGCTTGCGTTCACAGGAGACGTGATCAACCTTGGCGACCGACAGCTCACTGTCATGCACATGCCCGGCCACTCCAGGGGAAGTATCTGCCTCCATGACAGAGACCGGAAGATCCTCTTCAGCGGAGATGTGGTGTACGACGGCTCGCTGATCGACTGGCTTCCGTACAGCAGGATCAGCGACTACGTTGGGACCTGCGAGCGCCTGGTAGAATTAGTGGACAGAGGTCTGGTAGAGAAAGTGCTGCCCGGGCACTTCAATACCTTCGGTGCAGAAAGGCTTTTTCGGTTGGCCTCCAACTACATTTCGAAAGCTGGGTTGTGTCACAAAGTGTCTACTTTTGCCATGCGATCTCTTGCAAGTTTAGCCCTGCGTGTCACGAATTCCAGGACCTCGTCCTAGTATCCATCCCGATCATCTGTTTTGATTAACTTCATAAATGAATCCAACTCATTTTGTGCCCTTTGAGATGGTTAATAGTGAGCATTCCAACAAGTGCTTTTAAACCACCATAGTATGTTACAGGAGAGAAAAAAAAAATAAGATTAAGAATGAATAAGCCAAAAATGGAAATTTTAATTATTTTTTTCTTTTTTCAAGGTAAGAAGTCACTTAAGTAAACTTACCATTTGCCAAGTCTGTCACCTTAAGTATTTACTTCAGAACTGACACAGAAGCGTATGCGGAATCAAGGAGGCAGTTTTCAGCCAGAGAAAGAACTGCCCTCGGGTCCTTCTGTCCTGGGTCATCCTGGGGGTCGGGGCACGGGGGGAGGCATGTAAATTCTTACGTCGACACTCCAAATTTAATGCGGTCAGTGTGCGATTCAAACACAAAGGTTCTTAGGTTCAAAGGAGTCAGAACTCAGCACAAACACATAAACTCACATTTAGACAATGTCAGCTAGCAAATTACATTTTTTTGATCCTGAACTTTTTATGCTACTTTCTATTTATTTATTTATTCATTTATTTATTTATTCTTTACATAATTATAGCATTTGTTACATGTGTAATTAACTTATGAAAAGTCAATGAATCTTGTTTTATTGCAAAGCTTTAAATATAGAGTGCTTACAGTAAAAAGTTCATATATATTGTTGTTATTATGTAAGTAATATTTTCGGTCATACAAATGAAACTTAAATGTCTGTAATCTAACTAAAAATTTTCAGATTTCTCAAAAGGACACTGTCAGGCAAATTTGAAAATATAGACACAAAGTAATTTGTATTCTATCCTATTTTAATATGAACAACTTTTTTCTTGTTATAGAGCACGTTGAGCATGGTGTCATGTTTTACAGTATCTAACCAGCCTGGAGAACTCCAGCATCTTAATGTAAACCATCCTTTTACCTCAGGATCAGCACATAGAGGGTTTGCATCAGACACTGATGCAGAGTACTGCTTTCTACCCTGAGTCACAGCACTTACTCCTGTTTGCTATTCTTCGTCGTGAATGAAAAGGAATCCACTTTCATGAAGTCCTGGCAAAGGGATGGTGCTCTCAATAATATTTTATTAGAATATTTTATGAAGATTTTCAAAGCAGTTTTTTTTTCCCACTTTTTTTTTTTCCAGAACTATTAACATGTTTAGAATCAGACATGAGTTTGCAAATCAGATTTTGCAATTTTGGTTTCTGAAAAATTATGCAATCTTCTTTGAAGGGTTCCCCGCAGATATCCAGGTTCTTGAGTTATTTTGTCCACTCAGTAGCTCTCACTGCCGCCTCCATGCCCCATCCACATGGCCCCGTCCCCACATGAACAGCACTGTGCTAAACGCTGTGCAAGCCCAGGAAGCCAGAGATGGCGTGGTAGCTGGAAGATGAAGGCCCCCAGAGCGGGCTGGAGTTGACATACAGTTTTACCTGAGCACAAGGCACACGAACGGAGGCAAGGGAGGTTTAGTTAGGGGAAGTTTCCAGACAGGAAGGCTCTTTTCCATCAGGTTTTAGGAGGAGGATTTGTTGGCGGGTCAGGGTAGGAAACAAAAAGATCCAAAAATAGACGCACAGACCTGCCTAAAGTAGTTTGTTCCTTCTGACTGTATGTGTTCCTAGCTTTCAGGAATCTACCACCCGTTTAGAGTGAGTGAGAAGAGTTTGTGACTGAGTCAGCATGCTCACAGGTGAGCTGACCTGCCACGTGCTGCCCAAAGAACCTTGGCCTAGAGCAGAGCCCGTGATGGGTTCCGATGTGGAGCGTCACGATAGTTACGGTCATTCAAGGCAGCAGGCTGTTTGCAAGGACAGCACATCAAGAATATGGGTTTGGTTCAGGGCAACTACAATCACATATTGAGCCTTAAATATAGCCATTATTTTTATATCAATAGCACAAAAGAAAACCAAAAGTCCTTAACCATATACCATTTTATCACATTTTTCAGCTTTTTCTTAAATCAGTGTAGACTAGGCATTGAGTTTTATTGCAAAAATATGAAATCCTGAGGAGTTTTCTTATTTATCCAAAGTGTACCTTTTTCATAACAGATTGAGAATTATTTTTTGATTTCCCAATTTGATCTCAGTTTTTCAAGTCACAGTACAGCATAAGAGTATGATATTTTGCTATTGCTTCAGTACACACACATTGGGGAACAGAAGTCATTCATTTTGTGTCCATACTGTGCATTTTAAATGTGCGATATTGAATCCTGGTCCTACTGCCAAGAGGTAATTGACCAGCCTCATACAGCACAATTTTTGACCTAGCTGGTAGATGGACACAGCCTGTCAGCCCTCAAACTCTGTTCTTTCTATTGTACCTGCACAATAACATAGAATTGGCAAAGCTTGTTTTTACTTTCTAAGATGCCATATGTGCCAAGAATAAATCAAACGGTGTTAAAGCATGATAACATATTTTTCAAGACCTTTTGAAATACATACTTTCATCCTGACAGTGACCCTTATAATTTATGACTTTTGATTACTAGAATGTAAGTATAATCCAACATTGTCACAGTGTAAGACATCTTCAGATAAATCCTTTATTCCTATTGTTAATGATCAGCCTTTGAAAACGTGTTTTCCTTACACAGTGTCTCCTTTTAACCGGGAAGCTCAAAGAAAAACCTTGTGTGGTAGCCCATCATAGCCCAATAACCGGTTCTGTGTATCTGGCCCGAGGTGATTAGTAACATGACACACGTCATGCTTGTGCCATTTCCAGATAAGTGTAAGCAAACGTTTGTGTAATAAATATATTGAAGTGGACATTTGCTTTCCATGTGTAATTGGTATCTTTTATAATATTGCAAGCGTTCAATTTCTTGCAAGGATATTTTCTGTGCCGTTTTGAAAAATCTTATGAGAAATAAAGTGTTCCAGAGACTAGAGAATCCAGAGATAGAAAACTCATCTAGATCTTCAGTCTGTGATAAACTTGGCATTTTAAATCAGTGAATAAAGGTTGGATTAATCAGTGAGCATTAGAATTGCTGATGTGAAAGGGAAAAGCTCCTGCTGGCCAAAAAGTTTCCAAACGAGAATGTGACATCAGAGCTAAATGTGTGGTGGAAGGAAATTTAATTCATGTATCACTTAGGATGGGCGCATTACTGCAAAATGTTCAGTGTCTTCAGATTTAGATGCCATGAAGAAAGTTACAGAGATAAAGCTGAGGAAATGTGCAGAACTCGTCTAGCAGGAGACATTAAATATAAAGGATGCCTCTTAGTAAGAGAGAGATGAAACTAAGGCAGGACCAGCTTTTCCTCCTCTCAGATTCAACTGATGGAAGGCATTGACAAGCTTAAAAAAAAAGCATATGAATCTTATTTGATGCTAATAAAAGAATTGTAGAGCCATATAAACAGCCTAAAGAGCCTTTACACCATTTCGACAAAGAATGATACATTGTGGAGATTTTTGAACGAGGAGAAAGAGGTTTTAGCCATGGGTGTGTAATTGTGGGACAGGGACAAGGAACTAGATAAGAGAGACCTACAGAAGGGTTACTGTGGTTTGTAGGCTTTGTGCACATTCCTGTCAGTCTTGATTCCCAATTTCAGTGATAAAAATGTCCTCTTTCTGGTATTGGTTGATTAGTGCCTTTTTCATGAGAAATTTTGCATCCAGCGTTTGGGTTAGAAAGGCATTGTGCACTGCCGGTGTCCTGTAACAGTCTCCGTTCCAGGCCCAGCTCCTGCCCTTGTAGTCCAACTCCTTGCCAGTGTGCTTGGAAAAGTAGCAGAAGAACCAAGCGCTTGGGCCTCCTACCATGTGGCAGACCCAGATGAAGCTCCTGGCTCCTGGCTTCAGTGTGGCCTTGCCCTGGCTGTTAGGGCCGTCTGGGAAGTGAACCACCAGATATAAGCTCACTCACTCTCTTTTTCCCTTTTTTTTTTTTAACATTTATTTTATTTTTATTGGAAAGTAAGATATACAGACAGGAGGAGAGATAGAAAGATCTTCCATCCGATGATTCACTCCTGAATCATAGCACAACAGCCAGTGCTATGCCAATCCAACGCTAAGAGCCAGGAACTTCCTCCAGGTCTCCCACACGGGTGCAGGGTCCCAAGGCTCTGGGCTGTTCTTGACTGCTTTCTCAGGCCACAAGCAGGGAGCTGGATGGGAAGTGGAGCTGCTGGGATTAGAACCGGTGTCCATATGGGATCCCGGCGCGTTCAAGGCGAGGACTTTAGCTGGTAGGTCACTGGGCCCTCTCTTTCCCATTTCTATGAACTCTGTCCTTCAAATAAATAAATGAATTTTTAGCTGAAAGCCCCTATTTCTCAGTAAAGTCATAGTCATATGGACATCATCTTTTTAGAAAAATATTTTTATTGGAAAGGCAGATTTACAGAGAGAAGGAGAGACAGATCTTCTGTCTGCTGATTCACTCCCCAAGTGGCCTCAATAGCCAGAGCTGAGCTGATCCAGAAACAGGCAGCCTTCTCCAGGTCTCCCACACGGGTGCAGGGTCCCAAGGCTTTGGGTTGTCCTCGACTGCTTTCCCAGGCCACAAGCAGGGAGCTGGATGGGAAGTGGAGCAGCCAGGACACAAAAAGCACCCATATGGGATCCTGGTGCTTGAAGGGGAAAATTAGACAATTGAGCCATTACACTGGGCCCAGGACTTCAACCTTTTTTAAAAACCATAACAGAAGAGATTTCATTGTGCTTGGAATGGCGAGACTGACAGCAGTTGAGAACTGTTGAACTATTGAAACCCCTTGAGCAGCGCCCTCGGAGCGTGCTCCATGTCAGGGACCCTGGGATGGGTGGGAGGCTGGATGGGGCTCCTTTATCTCCCCACAGACATATCACTGAATGTGTAAACCTGAATGGGACAGAGAGCGGTGCTAGGACACGGGACATGGAGATGGCAGTGTGGGCAGAGGGGCTGTAGCGTCTCCATGTGGTGTGTGGACTGTCCCCTGTGGGGTCATCCCCGGCCTAACGGTTATCTGCTCTCAAAATTCTCCTCCCACCTCTGGCTTGAGGCTTTGTTTTTGTTTTGCTTTGTTTTTTTATTGCAAAGTCAGATGTACAGAGAGGAGGAGGGATAGAGAGGAAGATCTATCTGATGATTCAATCCCCTAGTGACTGCAATTGCCGGTGCTGCACTGATCTGATGCCAGAGCCAGGAGCTTCCTCCAGGTCTCCCACACGGGTGCAGGGTCCCAAGGCTCTGGGCTGTCCTCAACTGCTTTTCCAGACCACAAGCAGGGAGCTGGATGGGAAGTGGAGCTGCCGGGATTAGAACTGGTGCCCATATGGGATCTCGACATGTTCAAGGTGAGGACTTTTGCCGCTGGGCCCTGAGGTTTTGAATTTAGAATGAGGAAAAAGGCGTCGTGGAGATGGTGAAATTGGGTGTGAAAGGAAAACCAACACTGAGGGAACAATCGCAGACAGACTCCCGAGCCGTGGTTCCAGGAAGTCCCCTCAAGTCTGGGATCTGAGAAATCCCTGGGCTCCAGAGACACCCCAGAACTACTCCGGCTGCCTGAGGACATGCACTTCCCAGAACCCAAATACAATTGGACCAGATTTTTTTCTGCTGTGGTTTTTACCCCTTAGAATTGAGGAATAATGATTTTTGCAGCTGATAGGAAATCTTTCAAAAATATAAACTGAATTAGTTGTCTAGTTGATGCACAAAGAAACCAAGACACTGCCACCTAGTGGCTTAGTTTAAGAAATTCAGTAAAGCACTAAACCATTTTTTTTTCTCAGGAAATTTTACATTCATATTTTCATGTGGCCCTGAATATAAAAATATTTGTTTTAAGGAAACGATTATTAATATATGTTTTAAAATTAACACTTCAAACTTGGTCACTCATCTTTTTCTTTTTGGGCTATAATCCCTATTTATTAAACTCAGTAGGATATGAATTAGAATACACCAAAACCTCTTCGTAATTGAAAAAAATATTAATAAAAGATGTTTCACTGAAGAAATTTTCACATATAAAATAGTCTAAACTCAATAATAAAATTAAATTAATGATCAAATTAAGTTTATAACAAATTTTCAAAAGGAATGATATAAAATAAAATTTTATATTACGTATAGTTAGAAAGCAGTGTTTTCTGAAGCAGTCTAAAGCTATAATTCTTTATTTTTATTAAATAGCTCCATCATAGAAAACTAGCTGCAAATATTTCATTAAGCAAATATTATTACATCATTAACTTTTAATGTAAAATAAGAAAGATAGTTCTATAGAACTCTTCAATTCGGGAAGTTTTGAAGCCTGCTCTTCTTGAAAAATATTTAGTTGTTGGAGAGGCAGAATTATAGAGAGAGATACAGAGAGAAAGAGAGAATTATCTTTATCTTCATCTGCTGGTTCAGTCCTCAGGATGGCCACGGCAGCCAGGTGGAAGCCAGGAACTTAGACCATTCATAACTTACGTTGAACCAACTTCCTGTGCGTTCGCAGGGAGCTGGACCACAAGTCGAGCACCTGGGATTCAAACAGGTGCTCCCACATGAAATGCCAGCATCACAGGGGCAGCTCAGGAAAGGCATGGCTATTACAGCAGATGTTCTTCACGGCTGTAACATTGTGTGGGACTGTGTAAAACAGCGTCGCTCTGTTCTACACCCCACCTGGAATATTTCAGATGACCCAGGTGCTATCAAGAAGAAATGAAATGTTTGCTTGCAGTTGACTCCGTTTTTAAAACAGATGCTGTGCTATGCTTTTGAGAAGGGGAGAGTTGAAATGGAACTTAGCAGAAGACAACAACCCTTAACCCCCTTGTTCTGAGCAGTCATGACGGACTCCGTCCACGCAGGACAAACACACGCTAACACTGCCTGGGGAGTGCGTGGCCTCTTGTAGGACAGAGAGAGAATTCTGTGGGCAAGGGAAGAACCAGACAAGGGAAGGGGATGTGGGTGTAGTCTGTCTCCATCTTGTAGCCCCTCTGCTGTTGCCAAAGTTCAGGCGACGCCACAAGTCCTCCCCAGGGTTGTGGAGAAACTGAGCAAGCTCAAGGTCGAGGATAAGGTTTGGGGTGTCATCTGCTAGGAAGCGATGACGCTGGATGAGCAGGAAGGACTCTGGGTGGGCACGCACAGCCAGAGCTGGACGTCACACCGCCAGTGCCTTCGCTGCCAATGCCAAGCACACCGTGTACGTGTTATCTCCCAAGGAGGAAGAGAAACACAGACGATGGCTTCTGCGTAGGTCCAGGAAGTCACGAGACCCGTGATTCGAGGCAAAATAAAAGGGGTTTTCTAAAAGCTCGTGGAAAATGAAGATTCTGAGGAAAAAAGCTACAAGGCTTCCAAGATGTTTCTGCACCAAAGCTAAGCTTACGTTTCACCTTACCTTGAATTTTGTAAAGTGTCCTTATGATGCTGTTAAGCATCAGCCTCTATTCGCTCGGCGTGCTGACAACTT